CTACAACATTAGAGCCACCTATCTAATGCGGTGATTGCCTCCTTCATTTTCCTTAAACAGACGTCTAATTTTGAAATTGTTTAACCCACAGATCCTCTAAGTCCTCTATGCTTCATACTGTAGGTTTGCCTTGTCAGACATTGCTTAAACCTTATTAAAAACATGTGTATTGTTGAGCAGTACAGTATAGCTGTTGCTTCAATGCCTAAAAACCAAACTTCTCTCAAATTAGAAGCATTGACTTTAATGTGATTTAGTATTAATTTATGCAAAACCAAGATAAAATTGTGCTGTAAAGTTAATATAAACTGACAAAAGTATTTTTGAAATTTCTGCAAATGCAGATCTAGAAGAGAGGCCAATTTTATTTAGCCTCCTTTACTCCTTCATATTATTGGAAATTTGTGTCCTCAGATTTCAGAAAAGTAAATTCTCGATCTCTGTGGGATGTAACAATAGCATGTTTTACCTAAAAATATATGTAAATTATTAAGTTGCTCTACAAAAAAAATAATAAAGTACAATAATAAAAAAAATCTAGACTGCCAAAAAGACTGGTTACATTTTCTGGACTCAAAAAAAAAAAAAAAACCTTCTCTGCGGAGGCGTCAGATGTTCGTTTGTGAATATGGAACACCAAAGAGGATCATGGAGATCAAGGAATGCAGCAGACAGGTCAGGTATAAAATTATAGCCATGCTAAAAGGGTTAGGTTATGAGACAAAATCCCAAGCCTAAAATCTAAAGCAGAACTGTTGAACAACATTTTTCCTTTAAATAGTAGGATTATGGCACAACTGATACCCTACAAAGACATAAACCAGCTGGAAGGCATGAAGAGGAATAATCTTAGAAGCAGCAAAGATCCCCAAAGTGTACAGTATATGTCTGCAGGAGTAGCTCAGATCCACAGCTCAGTTGGTATAATCCATTGATAGGACGACTAACATGCATGCACTGTACAAATCTGTTCTTAAGGAAATAGTGGCAAGAGAAAAAGTCAAAGGAAATCTTTAGAGTTAGCTGTAAACTGTGTAGGAGACTCAGTAAAAATGTGGAAGAAAATGCCCTGGTTAGAGAAGAGAAAAAAATGTGTATATTAACCTACATGCAATCCATTGTGTGGTAAAAGACTATAACAAAAAACAGCATACCCACCTTAAACAATAGTAGTGGAGGTATTATGGTTTGGGGACGCTGGGGTTAGAGTAGCTGATGATGGAGCTGATGATGGAGGAAAACCTGTTGGAAGCTGCAGTAAACTTTAGACCCAGTCAAAGGCCGGGTCTAAAGAGCTTCAGCAGGGAATCAAGCCCAAGCCAACAGAGTTACAATAAAATGGGTCCAAACCTGGTTCGCAGGGACCCCAGCACTGCATGTTTTAGATATGTCTCTGTTCCAGCACACCTGAGTCAAATAAGGTCTCTTCCTCTGCAATCAAGTGCTGCAGAAGTCTGTTAATCAGCCGATCTTCTGCTGTGATGCATCAATGAAACACTTTGCAGGACAGGGGTTACTGAGGAACAGGGTCAAATCCTTAAAAAAAACATACTTGTGGTTTAGAATGGTCAAGACAAACCTAAATCCAACCTTTTTTTTATTTTTGCCAAGACTAGATGTTAGGAGATGATTTCCGTCTAAAACAGACAAAAAGGCAATGATCCGGATATTCCAAGCTTGGAGAACTATACCTCAAAACATTCGTGCCTGTAATTGTAGAAAAGTTTTTGAACAAACTGGACTCAGGGAGGTTGAATAGAAATGCAAATATTTATTTTTAGTTAGAGACTTAGAGGTACTTTTGCAATGTAATGTCAGGGCATGTAACATTCCAATGAACGTCAAGGTAGAAAACCTCTCTGCTGGAAATTGTTCAGACATTACTTCTTCCACTGGCTTGCCTTCTTCCTACGTTGCATTAAGCTCTTGTTTCTTTTTCAGATAAACACAAGAACAGCCTTCCACATGATGTAAAACAAAACATGACTCATATGATCAGATCACCTCCTTCTGCTGTTCCCTGATGCATTGAGCTTTGTTTTTGCTCTTGAGGCTTCAGTCCTTCAGCTTAATACATTTCTATGTTTCTATTTTCAATCTAAAGAAAAAAGGTTGCTGATTTATGCTTCAAAGAGCTTTGATGAAGTAGAAACTAATATATACTGTAGTCCAAGTGATTATGGGCTGTATGGTTAAAGTAATGCAGCAAATTATACCAATCTGCTGAAATATTGGTATTAATCTATTTTTTTTAATCAGTTGGTGCTAATACTGTAAAATGCTGTAAATAAACAAGAGATGGAATTTGTGCAGTCCAATAAAATGTATAGTTTCTATTAAAGTGTGCTGAAAATGCTGTTTACTGACATAATTAAAAGCACTGAACTGAAGTGAAAGTGCTTTGAATTCTCCCTTCTCACAGTCCCTGAGTAAATGTACTTTTTCACCACTGCTGTCTCTTTGTGGCTCCGCGTCTCTTTCTGCAGACACTTTCCAATCTCTTCTCTCTATATTCAATTTTGTTCTTTTATTCCCTCATCGACGCGAGCCCATTCCCTCTGCTCCGTTTTTTTTCTTCCTCCCTGCCTACTTTTTTCACGGCTTTCCATCTCCTTCCACCTTTCACCTGTTCTTTTTCTCTCCTGAGAGTAAAGATACTCTAATCCTCTCTGACTAATGCTGTCAATAGCTCTCAATAACAATGAAATAGCACAGATTCCATCCTGTCGCTGATGAAGCCATAGCCTTAGTTTGGATCTTATTCGTCTTCACGACAATCTGCCTCCTGGTAATAGCCAATCAGATGGCTGCTGCGAAATGCAGTGCTCCCATGATAGGCTCCCCATTGTTTTGATTGACTGCACCTGAGGGCCCACCACTTCAGCTGGGGTTCGATCAATAACCCATCTTACACACACACACACTGGGTAGCAGGATCATGCATGCCCAGCAATAAACACACAGGTATGAGCACACCATAGGTACAACACACACACTTTGGGGGAGAGCAAATTGAGAAGAAACCGCTGGTATGGGAAGCAAACTGAATACTTCAGCAAGAGCCTTTAAAGTGTGTGACGGCACTGATCTTATTGAGTGGTTGGAATAAACAGCTGCTGCATAACCATAATAAATAAACATACAAATGAGATGACAGCTTTGTGTATGTGACTGCAAGGTTTTATCTGCCTTTATTGGCAACTTTACGGTAACATGTTGAGCTAAACAAGAGTGATGTATGGAAGACAATAAAGGCAGAAATGACTCCCACTGTGAGCCTGTTATCCTGTATTGTGTCACAGATACAGATGGCTTCACATAAGCCTAGCCTCTCTGAGCTCTGAGCCATGGAAACCATCATAAGAGCAGCACGGCCATCTGCACATGCATGCTATTAGTACTACAAACATGCTCACATTTTGGTCATTCTATAGCAGATAAGTTCGCCTATGGAGAAAGCAAAAAAAGTCACACAATATATTCTTGATAGGCTTTATAAGATTTGGAAAGGTGAACAGATGAAACTTAATAATATGATGTTATAAATGTCATGTTATCTCCTTCAGAGTTTTACAATCTCTTAAAATTTTCAAATAAAAGTAGATTCTATCAAAGATTCAACCTTTTCCTGTAACTATAACCACAAATCTGTAGGTTTTGCACATGCAGAAAATCTGTCCATTCTTTGCAGATTGATAGATAGATTTATAAAAAGAAAAGTAAAAATAGGTTTTTAACATTACAGTTTCACCCTCATTTATTTTGGAATATATTTACTTGCATTTTAGATTTATTTCTAAAGAGTGACATGTTTGCAGAATCACTTAAGCTCTGTCAGAATAAATGGAAAAAGTTTTGTAAAATAATCTTATCTGGATTTCTGTCTTGACTTTTTACCAGCATGTTGTGTAGCATACATACAGTACTGCAGCTTTTTATGTATGTTAAAGTATACATTTATGTATTATTTTACAAGTGTACTTTCTTCTTCCAAATTTTCTCTGTGTTCCCTGTGTGGCTTTTAATAAACATAAGCTGGAAAGAGATAAAGAGATGGTTTCAATGTGAAAGTAGTTATCAAGCCTAAGAGTGGAAGTTGGAGGAATGTTAGGTCAACAAAGTCACTAAGAGTGCACATTATCTGTGCAGAGTGAAGGTACATCGTCTCATCCAGGTCTGGGTCAGATGCTGACTGCTGTTACAGGACAGGGGGGTTCAAGTGGAGGACCTGAACTCAGCACTTCAAGTGTCGGTCAGAGCCATCTATTGCAAAGAAACAGCCTTCCCTCATTTCCCTCTGTATTTATTTGTCTGTTTCTCTCTTCAGCTCTTTGACACAACCTTGTCATGTTGTCAGTCATAGCAAAGAGATGTCACTCCTGGAGACTGTTGCTTATCACTACTGGAGCCCCTCTGAACTGTATCTGAGCTTATCTTTGTGTTTTTGTGTTTTGAATTTGGGGCTCGAGGTTAGGTTATAGCAGCCATGTAAGCGAATGCGCATGTGTGCTGTGTACTTTAAAGCTGTCTATCCTCAAAGCTCTTGTATTTGCACTTATTATTCTGTTGCTAGTGCTTGCTTATCTTGTATTTCGATCTGTTTTCATGTTTGTTTGTGTTGCTTATGCACAAATGTGTGTGAATTAGCAGAGCTTGTGTATGTGTGTGTTGTGATGTTTGGCTTGAAAAGCCTCCAGAGATCTATGCTAGGCTGAATCCTGTCACGTCTAAACAGCAGACTTTCCACAGGAGACGTGAATACAGTTGTGTTCTGTATTTTATTATTAGACAAGCTGTATGCATGGGAACCCGGCTGCCTTTGCGATATGACAAGAAACGACTTCATAACTGACTTTGAAAGTGTATTGTATTGGTTGTAAGAGCGCAGGTGCTCCCACTACTTAGGAATATGACAGTGCAAAGTAGAGATAAGCTGTATGATGATGATTTCAAGGAACTGTGGGACTTTGTGTCGACTAACGCACTCTTCAATCCCACAGGTGGTGGTACAGGCAGCCAGCAGACCGTTCTCCATGAGAAGCAGTAGAAGATGCCGGCTCTGCCAGCGCTGCTGCTGTCAATACGCTTCCTCTCCTTCCTGCTAGTGACAATGCCACCACTCTCCCTCACTCAGGCCCCTCTACTTTCCTCCGTACGCATGGGTGAGTGTACCCTAAACGGATCAAAAATTTCCTTAACAATCAGTCAACATTCGTTTGTAACTCATGAATTAATCAGTTATTCAAGATGGCATTGGGCAGTATAACAAAGTGACAGGTTGGTATCCTTTAGTAAAAATAATGCACCTTTATGCTGTAAAAAGAACAAGAAAAAACATTTAACATGATAAAATAATTTCGCTTGAACAAAAAAACCTATAGCATTGTTTATCATTAGGTTTGACATATAGACTTTATATATGAAAAAATGTCTTTTTGAGGCAGCATTCTTTCATCAATCTGCTTGGAAGTTGAATGCTGAGGAAACATAACCCTGGTTTTAGCATCTTTAAGTGACTCTTCAAAAGATGAAAATATCTCAATATCTTTAGCTTGCCCTTACCAGGCTTGATCAAACCCTGTTATGTAACAATTATTGCAAGATGATTAGGTTAGTGAAGGTGTGTTATTAAAGCCATATTTTAGAGGATTTTTTTTATATTTTGGCTTTGTTCTGGTAAAAACATGTGCATATTTGCATGTTAAATTGTAAAGTGCCTTAAGATGACTTATATTGTGAATTGGCGCTATATAAATAAACTGAATTGAATTGAATATTTTAGATGGTCAAATCATTAAAAAAATTAAAGCTTTGATCTAAGTTTACAAGCAGACAAATTGTCTTTGTAAATGATAAAAAGCCAGATTTTACACTGTATTGCGATTTTGTTTCTAATCATCAGTGAAAGGATTTAGCTCATATTAACTCTCCGGAGTGCAGTGTTGTTTTACTTATAGATCCAATAGTGGAGAAAAAGACATCTGTTAATCATTGTGCTTTTAAAGTTGCATTATTGTGAAAAAAAAGTAATTTGTTTTCCTTGAAAAAATTGTAATAAGGGGCTAAAATCAGCACAGGCGGGTCAGTGCCTAACAAGCTCTGTGATCAGACAAAATCTTCGAATGAATTTCTACTTGTCAAAGCTTAAATGTCAAATGTCTCCTTTCTAAGATCCTCATCTTAGCATTCATGTGGCACCATCTGAATATACTGGTTTTGTGTTTAAATACACATTCTGGTCTAATACTTTGCTGTAGAAATCTAACAGGGTCAGACTCATAACTTTGGTCTGAACACTGCACTAATTTGAGCTGCAGCACTCATATTAATGGCCAGTCATGCACAGTGGAAGTGGGCTAATTTGGCTCATGAATAGCTGCTCGGAGCAATCTAAAAGATTACATCATTAAATAGATAAATACCAGTTCTATGTTAATTTTCTGGCTTCATAATTCTCCTATAACAATTAGCACCAGCACCTAAATGTTTTCCATTGAGAATGAGCCAATCAGCCAAGCAAAAGTGTTTAAAAGTCTTTGAGATGCCTTTTTTGCCTGATTGTTCAGCAGAATTTACACTACTGCTATTCATCATTATTTTGTTGAAAATTTGCAGCATAAGTATCACAATGATACAGATTTTATGGGAGTATAAGGTGCTGTTTTCATAAAACTGATACTTAAAAAAAGAATCATAATGCTTAAAGATGTGTTTGCTTCCAAAACAGCTTCAAAAGAAAATTTGTGCCTTTGATAAAACCAAACTAGTTCTAGAAATAACTTCTGTCATTATACAGGTCGGAGGGAGCAGGAGGACCAAAAGCGAGTCACAAAATTAAGTTGACGAGAAAGAAAAACAGAAAATGACAAAAGCCTGGCAATGAATAAATGAATCTAAGGAGCATTGTACTCTGACACGCTGCTGGTGTGTGCTGTAATCTCTGAACGGGGAGCCAAATGAAAATCATGACATTACGCACAGTCAACCCACACACCATGCTGCTGGTGAGAAGCTGGCTTCACTGTCTAATCCTGTGTGAATAGCAAATATTGCTCACACACTTTTTTCCCCTGTCCCCGGGGCATGGCTGAATGATGGTGAGATGAACATAACGAGAAAGTGACCAGCGTCTGAATGGCTTAATGCAGATCGATGAAGCCATTAGAGTTACACATCTCATGACGGAAAAGGAGAGACCAGTGACCAAGAAATAAAGGAAACTGAGGTTTTGCTCTGATGGTATATGCAACTTATCATAGCTTTACTGTAGAAACACAAACATTATCAAACTGAGTAAAATGTTGTAATTGCACAAAAAAAACAAAAAAACACTTAGGGCTTAAGAATCAGAATAAGAGATGCTAAATTGCAGGTGTATTTTTTTTTTAATATGTGCAATAAGTGGCCATGTTGTGGATAATCTACATATTGCTGCTGAAACGTTAATATGCGCAAACTGCCCTGGTTATGCCCACTAAAATGTTGAAGTTCAAAGTGGAACTTAAATAAAAGATGAGGTTTTTGCCATATAGCTGGAGGTAATAATGTTTAAAAAATATATAATACTAAATGGTCTTTATAGAACACTTTAAATAGATGGTATATCCTTAAGTACTGTGAACAGCAGTAAAATAAAAGGTGATAAAAACAAAAAAAGTTAAATATAACATTTTTTAAACTAAAACATGAGAAACTTCTTTGTTTGCAAGCCTTAAAACAGCTGAAAACAACCATCCTTTGTGCTTTGTTGAATTGAGGCAGGAAAAAAAATCTTGTCTACTGTAAGTGAACCTTCATCTCAGTTTTAAACTTTTGCATTCTCTAACCATGTTTTCTTCCAGTAATGGCCAATGGTTAGCTAATGCATCTTCCCTAGTAAAGATAAAGCTTCCCCATGAATCTGCTAAACATTTTCAGTATTTGCTTGAAGAGTTATACATAACTAGTTTTCTATCAACTTAAGTATCTTTTGCCAAAGCAGCTTAATCTTCATGTTTGTAGTGGCAAAGCATGATGTCTGGCAAAGTAGAACAGGAGTTCTTATTGCTTTTGTTCACAGAGGATGTAATTTTGAAAGTAGTTTGCCGCACTAGATGAAGAGACACCATCAAATGTTTTTTCTCTATTTTCTCCAAATGCAGCGGAATACCTGTTTCTAACATGACAAAATTTGGAATAATTCAATAAGTGTTAAACCTGTTACGAGGCTCTGTATAAATTTGACTTTTTTTTGTTTTCATGTCTTAAAAGGAGTTCAGATCCTTCTATTATTTCTGTAACTAATGGTGGGGATCTATTAAACAGCAAATTTTAACAAGTTTATAAACATGGATGATCTTGTTATCCAATAAAAAATATATTCTTGCTCTTGTTCTCCTGGTGTGTTTCTGTTCTGACATTCTCTTTATCATTATTCTCCACATTTCTTCCTCTGTCTCTCCTTCTGTTTAATTCTGTAGCTGCCATTCTGGATGACCAGTCAGTGTGTGGGCGCGGGGAGCGGCTGGCGCTGGCCTTGGCCAGGGAAAACATCAACAGTGTGATAGAGGGTCCGGTGCGAGCCCGAGTGGAAGTGGACATATATGAGCTGCAAAAAGACTCCCAGTATGACACTACTGACACTAGTGAGTGGATGCAGGTTACTTCAAAGATTACTGCTAGATCACATTTACTCCTCAGACTCCTAAATGAATGATAAAACCCATTGAAAAACATCAGGATATAGTAATTGGTACAAATAGAAATGACCAGTGTGGATGCGGGTGTGTTATGTAAGTAATGTTTATTTTTATTAACACTTGTAACTTTTAGACAAAAGAAAAGTATTTTAAATGGTTTCATTTCCTTCCAAGGCATTAAACTCTTTAAACAATGATTACAATTTTTTCTGAAAAGCAACCATTTAATGTGCACAAACCGCAAATAATGAACAGGGTGATAAAAACAGACACTTTTGTGGTATTTGGAACCAGAAGGGGCTTCTGCTTATTAGTTTACATGTCACTGGAGACCAGTAATGGGCCACTAAGGCTGCCTCATTAAAAACAGGAGACCTGTGCCCTCCAGCAACAGCTGGAACTGTGTACGGTGCAAGCCATGATGATAAACACACCATCAAACACTAAAACAGATACGCAGTAGCATAAAACAAGACTGTAGCACCTCATCAAATCTCACAGAGCAGAATCCATAGTCTACGGCAAAGACTGTAAAATAAAGCTTAACTGAACCATGAGCAAGCACAGCCTCGTTGCTCCGTTTCTGATAGGTCACTGACCTTGCTTTAAGCTGCTGGTGCAATGTTTAGAAGGTCTGAGCTCTTGTATGCCTTGCTTAAGATACAGGCATGTGCATCTCTCTGTGTCCTTGACCGATGAGCAGGAAGAGGCTGTCAGACTGGTTTGCTTAGAGCATTTTGTAGTCTCTAGATCAGGGAGCTCATCATTGTACAGCTCCAGATAACTGTGGCATGCAAGAAAATACTTAACTACTTAGGCATTTATATATGCATATACACACAACCTTTCTGCAGATACAAGCATGCACATCCTCAAATGAGCACAAAGGGAGCCTGTGCACTCACAGACACTTAGTAGATACTCACATGTACACATGGACCCTTAGTTACTGATACTGAGGACTAATTGGGATGAGCTGAAATAACAACTAGAGAAAAAAGGAGCTTCTTGGATAGCCGAATCAGACAGCTAAGAGATCAGACTCCCTTGGTGCCTTGCCTGTGGATAATTATCTGGTGAATATCTTATCAGTAAAAATAGACATATTGAAAGACGACCTTATTTAAAACACTTGATGAAAATATTTTAGATAATCAAATTCCCCTAGTTCATTCAAAATAACTCTCATAATGATCAATATTGTATCACACACTGTACATAGTGCCTTTCAAAATATCACTAACTAAAAGCAGATTATGCATCAGAAACCTCCAGTCAAGGTCCATACCTAAATCCAAAGATATCTCTGATATCCCCTTGTTTTATTCACATAAAGGCACATGTGTAGAAAGAAAGTGGTGAGACACTAGCAAAAAAAAAAAAAAAAAAAACAACAACAAAAAACCAGCACTCTCCTTTCAACATGGCGAATCTTAAACTGTTGTTCAAAGAAAAATTGGAAAAAAACAGTCAATCTCTACATATGAAAAGCTGATTGAAACACACCGAAGTGTTGCTAAAGTGTTGCTATAATGAAAAGTTATGTCATAACAAAACTATACCAGGCCATGATATAAATAGTTCCAAACTGTAATGTAGTGGTCAGGTGACTATTGGGATTGGATTTAAAGAGGTTTCACCTACTATAACTGTCAGTCAAACTGATTTTGTTCCTTCATGTCAGAAGCTGTGGTTCTCCCTGCATGTCTAGCCTTTACTCTCCGACATCATGAGGATCATCCAACTTTTTGCTGCCTTTCCCGTCTTGTCTCTGCCCCTTAATTAAAACCTTCATTCTTCTGGTCCACCTCTTTTATCAGGGTGTTACTAGGGTGTTACTAGGTTAACCTGCATGCCTCAATCCACCCACTGTAGGTTCCTGCTGCTGCAAAGGTTGTAAGGGCTGTAAATGAGCTTGGATCGAAACACTACATTACTCCACCTGCATCTAAGATCATTTGCAGCCTCAATGTTTACAAAAACCAGTTTCTCTGTTACATAAATAAAACCTTTTGTTTAACTTTAGTTAAATCAAATCTTGGCTGAGGTTATCTGGTCCGATATCATTGTGTCGTCTTACTTACATGCTGTTAAATTATGTAAGCTACAGGTAAGAAATTACGCACTCAAAAGAAGACTATAATTCAGTAAAATTATCCTCAGTAAATCCTAGTCTTTGCAGCTCAGACGAACCTCCTCTTTAGGTCAGTGACCACTGAAGTGAATAAACACTACCAGCACTTTCTGAGTTCCCCTGCCTTTCAGCATGTCCTGGCCTCTTACTACCTCATCTTCTGTGAGATTTGGACCGTCATTAAACTCATTTCTGAGACCATCATTTGGAAATGACCTCTAAACGAGCAACTAATGTTCCATTTTGTCATAAAGTTGTGCATTTAGTTGCTGAGATTCCAACAATCCATCTTTACACCAGTAAATATTTTAAGCATGTTCAGATAGATGTTCAGTTTACTGAGAATGATTAGTCTCCCTACCGGCCTGCCTGTGTCTGCTTTACTCTAACTAATACAATAGTACAGGCTTCTATTTTCTGTCTGTGGAGACAAAAGGAGTTTTAATGATTTTCTGTATTGAAGCCTATTTGAAACAGTAAAGCCATCCCCTAAATATAAATCACTGTCAGAATTTGGTTAAGAAAGAAACGTACACTGCTGCTGTTTGAGTTCAGTGCTCTTTTGAGACGGTTTGGATTCATATTTACTAAACATCAGTTTCTTATATGACTTTCTTCAGTTTCAGAAAGTCAACATACAGTATAACATTAACATAAAACTTTTAGTTTAACCCATTAAAACTTTTTTGACTATTTATATAGTGCAGATGGTGTAAAAAACAATCTCAGCTTTCTGTTTGTAAAATTAAGGACCATTTATTTTCTAAGTCACAATGTGTCTCAACTGGATGTTGGGAATAGACTCTGTTGATTTAAAATCTAATACAATCAGTTTTGCTTATGTTTTACACTATAACCATGAAACCTTCTGGGATTACTACTTTATGAGTGTAATATTACTGTCATGTAGCTCCCTCTCATTACTGGAACCGGTCCCTATGCTTAATCTACTGAGGTCAGAAAACTAGGAATAATTATGAATTTTAAATCTGTTTAAAGACAATAATAAGTATGCCTACATATGCAAATGAAAGTGTATTTATTTACAGGGTATGGTGACCGTATACTGGTTGTTGTGCAGATTTTTAGTTCTATCTTCGGTCTGAATCAGCAACCTTGATAAAAAGGTTGAAGAACAGCAACTGTCTCTATGTCAGCTGAATAAATAGCACATCCACTCCTAAGTGAAAAGGCAAATAGAAAACAGCCCAAGGGACATTGAGGGTTCATGGTAATTAAGTTCCTGGCGGTAAAGGTTCAGGGCAGGATATTGGTTGGCTAGATTATTATGCACCTTCTACCTGATTGTATATCTATTTAAATTAGTGCATTACTAGACTGGGTACAACTTAAAATGAAACAAAAACTATTGATGAAGAAGGATTTAATTTTTTCTCCTTTCCTGCTCTTACTGGGTACCTTACAGCAATACCTAAATTAAAGGAGTTGTAGATTTATCTTTAACTAGATTGGCTGTTGTCCAGCAGCACTTTTATTATCTTTAATCTTACAGCAATATTCTTATTTTAATGAAAATCAGTAATAGCAGTAAAATGTATAATCATTGGAGCAATGAATTTAATTGTCTCATGAATGCCCAACAACTGATTGGTTATCCTCTTCTTGTCCTTGGAATGTTTCTAATAAAATAAATCAGATCAGACTGAAGCAGATTTTGCTGCTTCAGAGGAATGAATGATTCATTTCAAACTGACGTGTTCGCACTTTTCACCAAACGGCTTCTGCTTGATGGTAGCTCTGCACATGCATTCTAAAACACAGAGCCAAGATATGTTCTTCTAGATCAAAAGTTTATCCCTTCCCCCCTGTTCCAGTGTGCCAGATTCTACCCAAAGGCGTCGTCTCTGTGATCGGTCCAGCCTCCAGCCCCGCTTCCGGCTCTACTGTCAGTCACATATGTGGAGAGAAAGAGGTGAGTTACATGTGCATATATGTACCAACCTCTGTCGTTTTAGTCATGTTAAAGTCTTCAGTTTTTTTACTGCTCAGAAGTACAGTACTACTATGGCTACATCATTATGTTCAGTTTTGCCTTTGTTATTAGGTTTTCTTTCAACAGTTATCATCTGTTTCCTTAAACTGTTTTTTTTCTTCAACCATTTTTTTCTTCTGTATATATACGTTTTTCCTGACCCTGCATTTTTTTTGCAGAGTAAATCATAAATCACTGTTTTCCCCTGGCCTTTCTCATGCCTTATCATCCCCTGTCCACATTATCCCTCTTCCAGATCCCTCATGTTAAAATTGGTCCAGAGGAAACTCCCCGCCTCCCATACCTGCGCTTTGCCTCAGTTACTCTGTACCCCAGCAATGAGGACCTGAGTCTGGCCATAGGTTCCATCTTACGTTCGTTCAGCTATCCCTCTGCCAGTTTGGTCTGTGCAAAGGCTGAATGTGAGTTACACACAGTCTCTTTTACCATTAAATCATATTATATGACTGTTACTGCACAACTGGGTTTGTATTTAGGTGGATGGATGTAAGTGCATAATTTTAGTCCTTGCAAATATGTTTACACTGCTTACCTTTGTGTGAATAAGGTGACTCCAGTAAGAGAATTGGCAGAATCCCAGTTTGGTCAGGTATGATTGCCTGCAGCTGGACACTAATTTCCAGAGCTGGAAAGAGTGTTATAATAATATATAGGGAAAGAAGAGTTACTATGCTGTAATTTCATCTGATATGTGCTCCAGAGGTAGGGGGTGTGTGTTTGTGTGTGTGTGTATGTGTGTGTATGTATATACACTACATACAAAATATGAACTGAGGAGCCCCTAATCATCAATTCTGTCCCTATACAGTGATCAAATATGTTAAATGCTGTGCCTAATTTTGATTTGGTGGACTGAGAGAAACAGCTTTGTGATGACCACTCCATAAAACTGACTTTGTTGTCATTGAACCACTTTGTTTTTTAGATATCCTTAGTTGTTTTGTCCACTTGGAATACCCATTAGTGCCTAAGCTTTGAATGCATGGCCAATGTCTTGGAGATGTTGCAGTAATAGTTGCCCTTAATGTTCTTTCTTTATGATACAATGTCTTTTGAGAAGTGTTTTGTTTCCCTCTACTGCAAAACACCCACACAGCGCATTATAGTTTCAGCAGACATCAGAAAATGTCTGACTGCAATAGTAAACTGTAATCTGCCTTTTGACTTGGCTTTTTCAGTGATGCTTTACAGTCCATGTAGGTCTCACTGTGGAGTGAAACCTACATGCAGCAATATTTTACTGATCCAAGGTATAAAACCAGACTTCTGGACAGTGTTCAGAAAATCATACATGATTTCTTTACATTTATATCACACAGAAGCGTTGTGTTTGTATTGTTGCCTTAAAAACACAGTGGTGTCTCCAGTTAATTTGAATGTTGTGATTTAGACTGGCTTGAGCTGACATTACATTATCATCTGACTTCACACAAATAGATGAAACACAAACTACTCCTATTATTAATGATAATGAAAGTTTGAATAAAGCAAAAAAAAGTTTCTAAAAATGTAATTACTCTCATTATTCTGGTATTTAGCAAACAGAAAAAAAATATTGTCCTACCCTCTGAACATGATTTATTTTTTGTTTCTCAATAACAAATGTCAGATAAAATGTCAATTACTGTAATATTTATTTATTTTGTCCATACTTATTAATTATCAAAATTCCCAACAACAACAACAACAAAGTTTTTTAACTATATAGATGTTAATGAATAGTATTATATACTTGACACTTCTTCTGCTTATTTTGGTGCTCATCTGTTATCAGAGTTCAGAAGGCAGCTTATTGTGCAGACTTTCTATTTATGACTCATGCTGAACCGCAGAGGGTTTTAAGGCCAAACCAGTTTGATAAATATTCATGCTTGAAATGCTTCCCAGTAATGGAGGAACTTAGTGGACATTTGATTTGACTGGCCAGACACTCAGAGAGCTTAAACATCACAGGGGATTCAGAGCTTGGTCACTGGCTGTTTTTATTTTCATTTTGAAAAAGTGCATTATTGATTTATGTTGCAGTCCCCTGCTGAGAGTCACGGGAATAAAAGGGCTTAGTTGGATGGAGGCTTTAGTATACAAACAGCTCTGTGGATACGTGACACAATAAACCACAAGGTCTTGGAAGTAGCAAAAATCTAATCCATCCACTATTTGACATTTTCTTTCAGCTTTCCAGTAAAAATTAGTTGGGGTTTAGTTGTTTTGTTGCTGTCAACTCTTCACACCAGTGAAGAAGTTAAATAAAAGTGAGAAGCACTTTTAAAAGGATAAGGTGGCCAAGGAACGCTGATAAGACTTTGGGCAACAAAAAGCTGTGGCATTAAGAAAAATTGATTCAGCCGTTGAGAAGCTTTCATTATCTCCTCGGCAGTTAGAGGCCCTCCTGCAGCTTCCAGAAAGTAACTGAATACCTTCTGGTCTCGTCATTTCATTGAACTGAGGAAGCTTTGAAACAGCATCAGACGTCCCTTTCAGTTTTGATCATCAGCTGAGTGGCCAGATAAGAGCTCTGTTTTTCATCAGCTTCTTCCTTTCCGGAAAAATTACAGACAAACGATCGCTGGGGTAGTTACCATCTAGGCGAACAAAGATGGATCTCTGTGAGAAAAAAGAAAAAGTGGTTAAGAAACAGAGGAGTGTGCATGTGTCGTGTATTCTGCCTCGAAGGTGATCTTTACAAGGTTATCGCACTCACAGACTCTGACCCACTTGGCTGCGCTATCTATCGTGGTGGAGCCGGTTGCCATGGCTGCCGAATAGGTGCTAACTGCCACTCAACAGGCTTGTTCCACAATCTGAACAACCATGTGGGTGTATGAGTTAAGCTACATGTGTGTTTTTATGTATGTTTTCCCAGTATTTGCTTTGCTTTATCTGAACCTGTCCATGCTGAGTTTAGATTTGCTTGTTTGTCCATGAGGGATTAAACATTGGTGCACTTGAATTGGATTGGGAATATGTGTGCAGTGGTTACTAGGTTCTGCGCAGGTTTGACTTCAGACAGTGTTTACCAGTTCCCCCCACTCCCCCTCCTTGTTTAATTCATTGTGTTTACACCGGTGTAGAGAAGGGTTTTCAAAGTTAAGCAGACAGGCTTGCTCTGATTTGGTGGAGGTGAGACAAATGGAAATACACACTTTGCACACATAAAGGGATAATTCAAGGAAGCTAGTCTTCATCTTTTAGTGTGTGTGCTACTGCATCTTAATGGTATCCATCTAATGGCTCCTCCCTGAGCGAGATATTTTGCTTAATGTGTGAGAATCGCAGATTTTAGGTCATTTTTCGATGTATCCTTCTCTCACTATGCATGAGTCAGAAAGTGCTATCTGAGCCTAATTCCATTATGCAGTTTTCATGAGATGGATGAGGGTTAAGGATGGCGACAGAGCACATGGAGGAGAAGGTGGCAGCATAAGAGCCAGATGAATCAAGGCCGAGAGAGCTAACTGGAGCAAAGGGCTCAGACGAGAGAGATGGAGAGGTTAGGGCTTATGTGTGTGAGATGGAAATTGGTGAAATAGGAAGAGCGGGAGAAGAGCGAGAAGCTGCTGTAAAGTGCATTGATTTTTTTTTCTTCTTCCCCCTCCTTCCTAGAACTAATTAAAGTTTTGGCCTGGTTCAGTGATTACCCCACTGCTTACAGACGCCTTCTCAACCTACGGGGCTCAGAGTAGTACCTTTCCTCTCATCCTTTCATTCCATTCTCTCTCCCTCTCTCTCTCTCTCTCTCTATCCCCACCCATCCTTCTTTTTTCCCCCAGATGCCTCGTTCCACTTATTTACATAGCTGGGGGTGCTTTACTATGAAATTACAATCAGGAAGCACCAAAGCAGACTTTGTAGTAATAGCTTACATGATGTCAAGTAAGACTTGACTGCTATTGGTTCTACTTAGTTTCAAGAGGAATTTGCTTGAAGTGGCAAAATTGTCTGAGGAAGTTTGTCAGTCACTGTCCTTCTATCTCTCCAACTTTATTTAGCAAAGTCTTTGAATTAACTTAACAGGTTACAGATACATTTACTGTTACAGCCAGAATTGGCAGGGTAAGAGTCTGATATTTCTTTATGCTTTTTACATAAACAGAATAGGACAAATATGTTCTTAATATAGGTTCAAAATTGGCAAATGATTAGATGAATGCTTCAATGAAAGTTGCACCTGTACTACATATTTACAGCTAACAATGAGCTTCTGACCAATTTCTGGGTTGATATTTTGCTGCTTAAAAAATAAGCTCTAGAGCTGAGAAGGTTGCTAGGCAAGATCAAACCTTTCGTCATAGTCTAAAGATTTTAAATAAGGCTGTGAGCAGGGGCAATAAACCTGTAGATTATAAAAGCTGTTTTGATGTATATTCAGATTCTTGGTAACATCCAATTTTGATTGTTAGACCTTTCTAGCAGATTTTTTGAAGGTGACCTTGAAGAATTTACATTAGAAGAGGTTCCCAATGTTATATTCCACCATATGTACTGCAATGCAGTGGAAAATAACCCTTAGGATGATGGTTTCCAGAAACATGACAGGTTGGACAGTTGTACACCCACTGTGCAACAGACTTTATGTGATTGCTGAACAGGCCTTACTTACAAATCGAATAAAGGCTATCCTTTACCCTGATTTAGACCTTTGAATTTAGTGTATGTGTAGATCAAGCAAAACATCCCACTCTGCAAATAATCTAGGCTTGTATACAATTATTTTTTGTAAATTGTTCAAAAAAAGATGTAAACATACTAGAAAAATTAAATCAAAAATCTTATTTCATTATAGTGTGTACTGTGATCATGCATCCCCCTTCTTATTAAAATCTTAAAATTCATTCCCATTCTTAAATGATCTTCCCCCCATACCATACCATGTGACATTTTAATACTGAATGTGTAAAATTACTTCTATATACTTACAGTAGTGGCAATAATACTGCCCTTTCCATATTTGGCTGGCCTATGGGCTTACGGGTAGCCTGAGCAAAATAAATAAAATCTAAGAAGTGTACTACCATGACTATGACGCTGATCCCAGAGGGAAATTTGTCCTCTGAATTTGTCCTTAACTATTTAGGGGTAGTGATAGCCATGCCATTTCAGGGACTGACTGCAGTTCTACTGTAAGGTGCCTTTATCAAGGTCCATGACCGACGTACCTGACATGTAACAACCATACCGTGCATATTGCTGCTATAACTAATAACTTTTTTCAGTCAGTTGAAATGAAATAATCTTATATTTTAATCCTGATTACACTATCATACAGCACTAGCACTCTGCACATTAGAAAAAATACCCGTTCCTCTCATAAAACATTTTTGAGGTTGATGAGAGATGGAAGAAATTCAGATTTCTACAAAAAGGTCTCCATTGTTATTTTTCGCTTATTTTATTATAATTCACTTGTGGTTCATAGTTCTTGACATACACTATGTTGCCAGAAATATTCACTTACCCATCTAAATTATTGGCATCAGGTTACTTCCATGGTCACAGGTGTATAAAATCAAGCACCTACATGTAGACTGTTTTAAAAATAGCATGGGTCACTCTCAGGAGCTCAGTGAATTCCAGAATTCCATGGATAAGAAAACACAGCAAGTCCATAAAGACATGGATGGTAGAGCCTGGTGTAGATGAACTTGACTGGTCTGAACTTGAGTCCTCAACTTGCTGTAACATTATAGAGCACCTTTGGGATGAATTACAGTGCAGCAGAGACAGGCCTTCTCCCTTCTGAAGGAATGGTTAAAAATTCCCATACACGCTCCTAAACTTTGAGGACAGTCTTCCTAGAAGAGTTTGGCAATATAATGCACATAGAACAAGGTCATCCTGAATTTTCTTTTGCAGCTCATCTTGGAGAGATACTCAGTAGGTAAGACAGGTCATAAGTTTGAGCCCAGCTTACTATTTTGTTTTTTTTAAAGACAGTTTCAGCTAACAGGGGTCTGCACAAAGACAACATTGTTGGAACTTGTTTTCAACAACCAAATCATCTAAATTTACTTTAAATAGTAGATGATTAGAATATGAAATATATAATCTGGATTGGTTGATCCAAGAATAAAACTATAATGTCCAAATAGCTCTGGGTATTTAGGAATGTTTTGCAAAGATACATTTTACCTGCTTTATGTGTGCATAATGTGAAATGAATCCTTAGCAGTCATTTTGATGGTTTATGTAAGTTTTTTTATGTGAATTTGAAACAACTAAACCCTTTCAATCTGGGTTTCTTTTCTAAAGGTTGTGAGTCTGAATTTCTATAAATTAATCAATTTTTTACTCCTTAATTTCTCAGTGACTAAATTACAATGTATTTCCCTGACGTAGCCAACATCGTAGCATTGTTTGCTTCTTTCTCTGAAGTTATTGGATTTTCTAGGTAGGCATTTTATGACAGGCTAATCAGTGCTGTTCTGCCAAAGCACCTTCACCATGCAGTACAGTCATACATTTAAATTTTGTCAACTATGTATACTTCAAAATAGCAGCAAAGATAATGGCTGTATGAAACAAATATGAACTGATGATGAAGGTATAATTAACTAAAGGATCAGGTGAACTTCTAACCAAGGTAATCTAAACCAGAAAGGATTATTTAGACAAGCAACCTTTTAATTCAAGAACATGCTACCTAAAGAGAAAAATGTAAACATTGTATGGTTAAAGGTTATTAAAATCTCTGTATGGCCCGTATCTATAGCAACATTTGCCCATATGTTGTCTGGCCGTGTGAGACAGTGAATGATTAGGTGTAAATATATGTTGAGCTGTGAGAGTCATCTGGAGTTGAATATTTCGCTGTAAAATAATTCTCTTTTGAGGAATTACTGGTAAAATAGAAACTGCTTAATTTAGGACAAAATCTAATCACTTGTTTTCTGGCAGATGGCCTTATTTGTGCTCGTTTATGCAATATGCTTTACATAAAGTAGGTTGTTAAACCTCCTTCTGTCTTGAAAGAACAAAAAGAACAATAGCTTATTTAACATAATAGTGAAGGAAAATTAAGTCCCAGGGAGAGATGTGCATATTACAAATGTGCTGTAGTGGCCATATTACATAGTGCTTTGCTTTCCTGGAATTTTGGGAGAAACATTTTTCATGCATTGCAGGAAGTTCCTATCCCCCTTTACTTTATACATTTTGTCACATTACAAAAAAACCTTGAGTACATTAAAGATTTGAGTGATAGCTCAATAAAAGGTGTAAATGTGAAGGGAAAGGCACACTGAAAGATAAACCTATGACCCAGTCTTTTGCGGTGTATAATGAGATTTCTTTTAAGCACTGCTGTGTGTTTAACTCTATCCCTCTTCCAATAAAGTATTAACTTGCTTCATAAAGAAAAAAAAGAGAAAGAATATATATATATATATATATATATAGATATATATATATATATATATATATATATATATATATATATATATATATATATATATATATTAGAATGAACCAAATGCAGAGACTGAAGCTGGGGTGGTTTCTTGCACATTTAATAAAAAGACATATAAAATACAAAATCAAAAGTCCAGAACTCATTGACAAGGAAAACTCAAGAACTAAAAAAGCTAGGAGACAAGAGGGAGAATTAAACCAAAAGAATGACGAGGACCGAGGAAAGAGCAACTTGAGTAAAGCGTTGTATGTATGGTAGACAGATACAAAGGCTAATAGGGGGCAGGTGTAGACAGAAATAACTAGAAGGAGCTAAGCTGAAAGGAGACTAGCACAAGGGGGGAAAAGAGAGTAACTTTAAAAATAAAACACTGCTTAAATATAACACAGAATGGAAAAGAAAACAATGATCAATAAAATACAGAATAAAACTTAAAAAGAAACTTAAACAGAAGTCCACAAAGGGCACAATCATTACAATATATATATATATATATATATATATATATATATATATATATATATATATATATATATATATATATATATATATATATATATATATATATATATATATATATATATATATATATATATATATATATATATATATATATATATATATATGTATATAAAAACAAATTCTTCCTCACCCATTGCGGGAGGTCTCCCTTTTTTCCTCCAAGGATGTGTCCTGTACCAGCCTGCAAGCTCGAGGGACCTGCGCAATATCCTTGGTTTTCCTTAAACTTCACTTTTCTGGGGAAAAAAAATCAATCAATCTATCTTTCTATCTATCTATCTATCTATCTATCTATCTATCTATCTATCTATCTATCTATCTATCTATCTATCTATCTATCTATCTATCTATCTATCTATCTATCTATCTATCTATCTATCTATCTATCTATCTATCTATCTATCTATCTATCTATCTATCTATCTATCTATCTATCTATCTATCTATCTATCTATCTATCTATCTATCTATCTGTCTATCTGTCTGTCTGTCTATATACACATATAGATAGATAGATAGATAGATAGATAGATAGATAGATAGATAGATAGATAGATAGATAGATAAATATGAAATATAAAAAGATATTTTGGATTGTGTCAAACTGGACTTGTTCTGGCCTTCTATCTACTCTTGAGTGCATGAATGATACTTGTATCACAACTTCAGCACCACACATCATTGGAATCATTACTTAGTTTTGTTTACATATATATGTGTTAGACTGGTAAATATGCTGATAAATGTTCTTCATCTTTCCTCTGCATGTATCTCAGGCCTCCTGAGATTGGAGGAACTAGTCCGCCGTTTTCTCATCTCACGGGAGACACTGTCTGTCAGAATGCTAGATGACAACCTGGACCCCACTCCCCTCCTAAAGGAGATCCGTGACGACAAAGTAGCCACCATCATCATCGACGCCAATGCTTCTGTCTCTTATCTCATCCTCAAGAAGGTCAGGTCTACAAAACATCAATATCCTCCTCAGAACCACCCACACATACTTGTATTTAAAGTTGATCTTGTACTCTTGTACCAAGCAGTTTGACTCATGGGGTTTTTGTTTATTTTTATTATGCAGTTAAAATTTTCAGTTTACTCTGATAAACAGCATGCAGCGCTTTCAATTTGTAATACAACTATTTCAAAGGTCCTCAGGCAACATCGGTGCTGTTACAGGATTAACTTCTATTTTAAACTTTTCCTCCCTGTGGAGCTGCATGTCAATCAGCTACACTCATCTGAAAGTTTTGGACAAAAGAACATTGCCTTTTTTTAATACAAAAAAGCTCTTTTTGTTGGGATGCAGTGAAGATGTTAACCCGAGTTTGCTCTGATTCATCCTAATGCCGATAGCCAGAGCAGTGAGTCACGGTTTGAATGGGATGTTTTCTCCTGGAGTGCTTGTCCGCCCTCAGCAAAATGTACTAGTGTTAGGCTGATGATGTAAAACTGTGATTAACGTATGCTTCCTCTTCTTTGGTCACATCCTCTGTACTTTGTCCTTGTTCCCTGCCTTCCCTATTAAGTACCCCCTTTTTCCACCTTACTCTTGTCATCTGTCTTCTTTTCTCTTTTCCTATTCTGTCTTTTCACATTAATACATCACCTGCTGATTCTTAATTTTTTCATCTTGTTCTTTCTCTTTGTTCTACAGGCCTCAGAGCTGGGGATGACATCAGCATTTTATAAGTACATCCTCACCACCATGGTAAGAACATGCTGATTCTTCCACCTCCTATCCTTCGTCTCATGCTTCATCATTTTCCCTTGTTCCTCCTTCCATCCATTCTGCTCCTCCTCCTCTTCTGTCTGAGCCCGAGCGAGCAGAGGTGCTAAGGCGGAGAAAGAGTTCAATAAGGGGAGGTAGGGAGAGGTGACAGAAGAGGAAAAAAAGGAAGATGAGATGAAAGATGAAAAAAAGAGAGGAAGAGATCTGAGGAGCAAACATGCTGTTCAAAGATGCGGAGGTGTAGGGGAGGAGGGCAAAGAAAGAAAAGAAAAAGGGGTCTGAGGTGAAGGTAATGACAGATGAGATGTGCTTGGTTTTTATTTTCTTCCCTCCACCACCCGCCACCTTCTTCACGCTCCTGGGCTTTTCATCTGCCTCCTTGATATACTTCCATCCCTTTTAGCATTTGAATTATTGTGTCATTTTGTCTGATTTTTATCTTTTCTTGCTTTATGCAGTTTGTACTTGATGTGTTCTTGTGCCTTGGATGCACTTGCATGCATATCACTTTGAGAAGATCCTTGAGCATTCTCCATCAAGCCTTATCCACCTCTGTCACCTTTTCCTCCTTTATCTGCAACTAACTATATTATTTTTCCTCTGAAATATCAGATGTTGTCACTCTCAAGTTTGCATTTCTTTCTTTTTGCATTCCTCTCTGCACTACGATTTTCTGTCATGCAAATATTTGATATACTGTGTCCTGACTTTAACAATCACAGACTTCAGTGTATTTTCTTGATTTTATGTGATACACCTGCACAATGTAATACGAAATTTTAAAATAGAAATAGATGGATAAAAAAAATCCTTAATGAGTCGTGTGTGCATACAGTATGTAACCATTCAACTCTCTATTCTCTGATACCCTCAAATAAGATCAAGCACAGCCATGATGTAAAGAAGTTTAAAGCCAAATTAGGTTATAAAACATTTCTGGCTTTAAACCTCTCATGAATTAAAGTTCAGTGCGTCATTTAAAAGTGGAAAGCATATTGTACCATTATAAAGTAATGAAAATCATGGCACTCCATCTATGTGCCTAGGTGAGGAAAGTAGATAATCATAAATGCAGTCATGGGGCCAATGGCTTCTTTTTAGGTGCGCAAGAGGTCCACAGCTTAGGTGGGAGAATCTGTCGACAGGGCTACTTAGGTCATGCACAATGCAAAGCTGGATTTACTGAGGCAAGAAAAAAAAAATCTGGTTTTCAAATAAAGCAAAAGGAAGTCATGCTGGCAGTTTGCCCCAAGCCATACAGTGGATGCAAATACAGAAAAGGTGCTGTGCTTAGATAAGATACTAATTGATAATTTCGGCTTACATGCAAAACTTCACATGTAGGTCAACCAATGCAGTAGTTAAACATAGCGACAGCAGATCATGCTGTAAGGATCTTTTTCTTCAACAGGGACAATGGAGATACTCAGGGATTATGAGAATAGGAATGTAACTAAACGTGTGGCAAAAAACAGCTAGTTGTTGCAAAGGACATGAGTCGAGTAGGTTTACCATCTATAATCACCCAAGACATAAAATTAGAGCCTCCAAAGCATTTTTCATATCAAAGCATACTTTTGGGTTGGAATCAATCCACCTCAGCCAAGACCCAAGTTTATTTTATTAATATGTGGCGAGACATAAAAATAATTTATGTAAACAGAATCACTCCAAGAGCTTTAATTGTTCCAATTTAGGAATTATGAATGAATTAAGAACTATTTTGTTTTGGTCTATTAATAAATTACCATTAAAACGCAATGAATGATATGGCTGTAAAGGGAAAACAGGTGGAAGGAAACACTGTTTGAACACTTTTGGATTTAACTGTATCACCAACCTTCCCTCTCACCTGAATGTCCTCTCTCTTTCACTGTTGCTTTTCCAGGACTTCCCCCTTCTGAGGCTGGATGATATCGTGGATGAACATTCCAACATTTTGGGTTTCTCTATGTTTAACACCACACATCCATTCTATTTGGAGTTCATCAGGAGCCTGAATCTTTCATGGAGGGAGGGCTGTGATTTGACGTACCCTGGCCCTGCGGTTAGTGTCTCAAACCAGCAAGGACTTGAGAATACAAATGCTTTGTACTATTTATAAAGCTTTGTTTGTTTGCCACGCAATATTAAGCTGCTCAGTCCCTGCTGATGATTCATGAACCATTTAAAGAGATTTAGCTGCTCCTTTGGTTGTATTTAATAGCTATTGATGTACTGTATCCATCTCTCTTTCCTTTATTTACTCATTTCCAATGTCTTTTTTTCTCCTCTCTTCCTTCATCCTTGTTATCCTTTCAATCATTAATGTTAGCGCCTCCCTCCTCATTACATCCTCTGCCATGTCTCATTTCCCGTTCTTCCCGTGTTTCCATCCATCCTGCCCTTACTGCCTCCCTCCCTTTGTCTTCTGTTCTCTCTCAACAGCTCTCTTCAGCGCTGATGTTTGATGCCGTACATGTGGTTGTGGGGGCGGTCAGGGAATTGAACCGCAGTCAGGAAATTGGAGTAAAGCCCCTGAGCTGCACCTCGCCTCAGATCTGGCAACACGGGACCAGTCTCATGAATTATCTGCGCATGGTAAATGCCTCCCAAATCTTTCACTTAAACATTGCATTGACATATATTATAAAACGCATCCCATCTGTCTTGCAAAAATTTGTAACTGACCAAAACATGTCTAATCAGGCAAAAATCAGTTTGACACTTTATTCCTGATTGTTTTATGATTATGTCTTATTCATTTTCAAATAAAAGAAACTGGACTCATAAGATCTACATTGGTTACTAGGGTTAAACTTAGGAAAATGTTTGGTAATTATTCAGCATTTTTTTATGCAAAATGACAATATCTAATTCATCCATCCTTCCATCCATCCATCCATCCATCCTCATTACAGTAGAGATATGCTTCACAAATTTATAAGGAACTTTCATATTCGGTCTTCATAAAAGTATTTAATCCAACATGAAAAAACAACTACTTAGAAACCCAAAAGTTTATCTAAATATCAGAATAATTTTTGTTTTTTCCCTATTCCTCCAGTCCTTCCTAAAAGAAAAAAATGTCTCCCATACTTGGCAAGGTGTTGGCCTTGTGGTTAGGGCATTGTGCTTGTACTCTGAGAAGGTTGCAAGTACCCGGTTTGATCCCCACAGCCTGCAATCTGGGTTCCTGAGCAAGACCCTTAACCCCAAGAGATGAATTTCTCCAGTTTGAGATCAATAAAGTTAAATTAAAATTAAAATGTGTGGCTTAAACATTAGTACAAGGATCATGATTAACAGCTAGGGGTGATGAGCTTTTTATTACACCCCCTACTGATTGCACACAGAATGTTTCTTCCTATTATCTACAGTACATCCGTCCAAAATGTTCAAGGCACCTTTTTAGGCTTGTGGAGCTGCTTTTTTAGTTGTGAAAATGCAAGAGGCGTTGACTTTATATTACTTGTGTCTAAATTGCTGTTTTTGTGCGCTTCTTACTATACAATAGAACAGCACACCATCACTTCAGTGTCAGCTAAATGCAAGTGAAGGTCTTTTACGTTGTAAGGGTTTTGATTTACCCACCTGGCAATCCTTCAAGCAGCTCTGCTGGAAACTTTTCCTTCTTTTCAGAATAATGCTTTCTTTTGTAGCTGACATTTAGTAATTCTACGGCAAAGCAGAAAAGTGCTTATGTCTGAATGGTATTTTTTCACCTTCTTTGTCTGATTTTTTTGGCATTACGTCCTTTTTTTTTTTGTCAGACTGACAAATGGTGCTTAAGAGGCTGATAGCGGGGATAAGGTTTGAAGGGTCACAAACTGCAGAAGTGATTTTTGTCTCTTCAGGTTTTCTACTGTGGTTATGTTCTATTTAATAATTATAATGAAAAAAAAATATCATTATAATTTCATATCTAAATTTATGACATAAACATGCAAAAAGCATTGCTAACTTTAATCTCGTTATAATTTCATTATCAAATCCAAAACTTTTGCAAACAGATGTATGAAGGGATAAAATGTTTGCATTTCATAACACCATTGAAGATTTTTCTTTCTTTAAACATGTACGTATATTTCAACCTGGAGAGACTCACACAGAGAAAAGGTGGAATTAGAAAGATTTTATTGACATGAATAAAAACAAGTTCTTTGGCACTCAGCCCCCTGCAGAAGACTTTATGCTGCAAGTCATCAGGAGCCTGTATGAATAACTTAGGAAGAGGATTAGACACTGGTGGTGGAAAAAGCCAGAGTGGACTATGAGAGATAGGTTGGAGGTGGGTCAAACGTTGGCTAAAGCGCTGCATGGGGAAGCTGGACCTTCTTCTTGAAGAAAGCATCTTGAGAAACGATTGGCCTCCTGGCTTAAGTGTGATCTGTCTTTGATTAGCTGTAGCTTGAGCGAGGGACGTCGGCAGGTATTTCGGGTTAAGCTGATTAGGAGACTGATTCATATAAAAAATATGATGCTTCTTTATCAAGCTCCTGTCAAATAAAAATAGGTTGGTTACTTACAGTTGTTTTTGTTATTGATTTAGCTGCTGCTCATTTTCTAATGATCAATAAAATATTAGAAAGAATGCTTTTGTTTCCTAAAGCCTGAGGTGATGGGGACATTAAAGTAATTACTCCATTGTGTAGCTGAAAATCTATCAAGCAGTTCCTGAAATATGTTTTTTAGAAGAGAGTCAAACTAGACCCCATAATGCTTTGGTCATTGTTTAGAAACGTACTCTGCTTGTACGTATATACAGAAAGGCAACTGTTGCTAATAACTGGGAGACATTTCAGGGCTGTGGTTGGACTGGATCTCATTTTGAAGTATGGGCAAAATAAAAAACATGTACACTGTTTTAAATATCCTATATTAAAGCTACAGTGTGTAATAATTACAGGGATATAAAGTCAGAAATGTAATATATTTTACATAACTATGTTATGTATCATCATCTATGAGCTCAGCCTCTTAACCTTAATATTTGCGTTGCCTTAGAATTCATTATTTATAATTACATAGGAGCGGGTCTCGCAGCCATGGAGGCAGACATCTTTGCGCTACGGCAGCGCAGAGCCAACAAACTAGCGATTGCGAGATCGCCCATTACGCTCGAAAGTAACTACGGCAAGTTGTTTAAGTCTACATGAAATCTATACCCTACATAGACTAATGAAATACTATCTGTAAAATTATCTATGTAAACAAACCTCATCACTTGAGAAGGTAGGTGATGATGACATCGTGGAAGACATTTTGTCCCGTAACGCTCGCCGTACTGTTGGGGGGGAGAAGCGGTGGGGGGAAGATGTTCATGTTGCTGCAGTCTGCAGTCTGGACGTTAGATGTCGCCAGTGTTGGGAAAGTTCTCTTTCTACGTGAACTAGTTCAAAGTTCAGTTCACACATTTTAAAATGAACTAGTTCAGTTCATAGTTCACAATTCCAAAAAACGAACTAGTTCATAGTTCTTTTTTTTTTTTTTTTTCATATATTGCTCAATTACACCATAGCCTACTGTAGAACTACAGACAGCAATTATTTTATCAGTTGTAACACTGAAACTGTGCGTCAGATTTCATCTTCATATCCAGTTTTGAATCCTTATCCAACCAGGGTTTACATTAGCATTGAGGGGACAGCATTTCCCCATTGTTGCTTTAACGCTTTGTTGCTGTCCATTCACTTCACACTAGTAGCAGCTGCAGCTTTCACCCCTACAGTATATTCTCAAAAACATCAGGAAAAATGTGCTGCTTGAATGGTCTTTTTTATGAGTAATTATTAAAAGAAAAATAGGAAAGTAGTCTTTAAGGTGCAAATGTTTTTTTTTTTATTTTAATAATTTTTTCCATTTGAAATTCCATTTCAATACATACTAAAAAGGAATCCTGGAAAATTATACCAGGCAGGTTTAACAAACAAGTTACATGGATAGTAAAACCCTCAAGAACAGGGGTCTTCTATGTTTTCCAGACCAAGGACCCCCAAACTGATGGCGAGATGGAGCAGGGACCCCCTAACTATATATATTGTATGAAATTGTGTCCTATAGTCACTCTATTACAGATGGAGTAATGTAAAGAAATTAATTTCTCCCTGGGATTATTAAAGTTTTTCTGATTCTGATTCCTGGTTGATGGGACAGGTGTTGTGAATGAAACGGTGCCCAGCTTGAAAGAGCTCCTGTGTGTCGCTGAATGTGTGCATTGATGACTGAAAGACATCTTCTGCCTCCATTTATCTGTTTACTACAGTGTGTTGATTTCATGTTAATGAGTATTTAAAGACATTTCAATTAGTGGGGGAAAAAATGCGGGGGGGGGAATATAAAAATATCAACTAACCATGCAGACCCTCATGCAGTACCTCCGTAGACCCCCTAGGGGTCGCGGATCCCCTGTTGAAGACCTCCGCTCAAGAAGATTTTACTAACACAAACTGAGGGACCAGGCTGAGGTAGGAATTTAAGGTTACTGAAGTGCGGATTTTTTTACTGAAAGCCGGCGGGCAAACTTGTTGCCATCATCCTCACCGACCACCTGGTCATAAACCTGTTTTAAGTCGCCTCCATGCTCCTGTGGCTTCCACGCTGCATTTTTTTTTGATGACGCACGCGGCTGTAGGCTACGACGCTGGTAGCTGCTGTTGCCAGATTGGGTGTTTTTCCCGCTACATATTAAGGCCTGTTTACGGTGTGATTTAGCCGGGGTTTTGCCTGGAGGGCTCTATAGAAATCTGGCAACCTATTGAACGGAGTTGAACTGAGAGAGCGTGCCGTTCACAGACGCCAGAATGAATGAGTTCACAATAACGTTCATCAGGAAATAATGCAGTACGTTCAGTTCACGTTCGCCCAAAATATGAACGAGTTCATGAACTTTCGTTCAATGAACGCGTTCAGGCACAACACTGGATGTCGCTAAAAATTACACACTGTAGCTTTAAAAGAAGAATCTAATGTGTTGAATTAACTTCATCAAATGTTTTGGTTATCAAATGTAAGAACAACATTTAAGGATATAAATACTTCTCCAAAATGCAAAAATCCAGACATTTAAATTCAATCTTTGTAAAAAAAAAAAAAAAAAAGAAAAAAGAAAAAAAAAGGAAGTTCAAATATTTCATATATGAAAACAAATAATCTGATCGACATTTATATTAAAGATCTAGTTTGAATTTCATATAAACAACATTACTGTAGATCAGCTTTACCCCAGTTGACGCGATTAACTCAAAAGAGAGAAAATTCCTCTTCTATTAAATCAAAATCCAAATCTTTGGTCAGTTCATATTTTTAAGCCTATTGATAAATAAAAGCATAAATGTTCACCATGTGTATCATCAGCATCTCATCTTGCGTGTAACCTCTGTCTGTTGATGTTTTTGGTCATCTCCCTTCTTTGGTCGTCTGCTTCCTTCATCAACGACCTGTTGTCAAGGCAGCCTGTGTCCCATCTCTCATTGCCTGCGGCCCATCTGCCCGACATCTGTCTTTGTTAGTCAACATCATGGTGCGCTCCATCTCCAGTGCTCTGCTATTCATCATAGTTCCTTCAAACTGTGCCAGCACCTGGGCTGTGGAGCGGCCAAGCTGAGGTGGAACGTGTAGGTCTGGGTCTTATTAAAAAGGCTGTTGACTTTCTCTTCTGCCCTCTCTGAGCCTCTCGATCAGTCACTTTCTCCTAGTTGATCCAGAAATGATCATTACTGCCGAGGCCAGATTTGGCCATTTTCTCTCACTTATTCTCTCTCTATCATTATCTTTAACCTTGTGTGTCATGCTTTCTTGTTTTTTGGCTCTCAGCTCCTCTAGAGACTGTTGTTTTTAGCTGTCTAATTATGATCGATTATGAAAGGCACTGTTGTTTTCATGCAGAGCACTGATTATATTTGGGTGCATTTTTCCTAATTTCCTTTTTTGCTCCTCTGCTACTGTCATACTTCCTCATATCCTTCTCCATCTGCCTACCAGGTGGAGTACGATGGCCTGACGGGGCGAGTGGAGTTCAACAGCAAAGGTCAGAGAACCAACTACACCCTGCGGATCCTGGAGAAATACAGAGGAGGCCACAAAGAGGTCAGGAGCCACCTGTTATGATATAGCGGCCAGCTTACAGCAGCTTTAGGCTTAGGCTTAGTTACAGGTCACCTGGATGGTTCTGGAGAGCCAATGCAGGCATTTTACAGGGAGGTTTGTGTCAACATAAGCTTACCCGTATCTCTGCATTATTAAATGCATGTGTGCTTAACTAGAAAATGTGTTTATCTACAGAAGAAGACATATTAAAAACCAAGTGCAATAGCATGTTTAGCAGTTAGATGCTGTTTATATTGTTCCTCATTTCTCTGAATCATTTGTGCAGACCTGGTTACATGTCTGGATGTATTTATATCTCCCTCTAACTTCAATTTATTGTCAGTTAAAACTACATTATTATCTATTTAAAACTATGGATACAGAAAAATCTTGTTTCTTGTTCTGGACACAGTATTAAATATGTGCTCACCCTTTAAACAGTCCTTTTGAACACTCTATCTTGTGCATAAAAAATGGCTGGAGGCTTGCAGCAGAATTGATCGATATAGATTTTTTAAAAACTCTTTTGTCTTTAAATAAAAAGTGCAAAACACAAGGCCTGGGGCTGGCCCACCATAGCAATGTATCCTGCTCTCAAGTGCCAAAAAAGCCATATCATGCCATAAAGCAGAGGCATACAGTCTTTTTAAGGTGTACACAGAGGGTAAAACTGCTAAATAAATGGGTGGGATGGTACCAGAGCACCATGCTCTTTGTAAATGAAATTATTAAATTAAAAGTTTCTTTTACAGCTACCACTGGCCTTTTTAAAGACTTGAAAATGCTGAAGTGGCCTGATAAAATAATTAGTTTGACACTTCCAACCTACAGCAGAGCTGGGATGTTTCTTTGGAGCAGCAAAGAGTAGAAAAAAGTGGCATGTCATTTGAGAATTATCTCAGTATGCAACAGAGACAATTCTGTGCCAAACAAACAAAATTCAATAAGTATAAATAAATAAATACATTATTTAAATGACAGCAATTTATTCTTTATATCTTAATAGCAATAAAATACCCAGTTCTTGACAAACAGTTTCATTTCTTACCAGTCATGTTTTACATTGTTTTACATTCTTTTGGTGTTGCATTAAAAGATTGCATAATACAATTCACTATGGAAGTGAAATATGAAGAATAGCTTTGTTGTTGAATCTGTGAGTAGCTACTTTACTTGCTCTCGATTTTTTACACATTACAACCAAATTTTATATCGCTGGAATTTTATGTGGAACACAAACAGGAAGTAGAGCATTCTATGTATGACTTTGGTATGCATTTTTTTGTGTGCCAGTAATTGGCACAGTTACTGGCACAATTACAGCTGCAAGCTTTTTGGGTGTGCCTCAGGTTTTCAATGGGAACATGTTTAACATAGCGTATAACTAACCCTACATTTGCAGTCTAAGATTTTACATTTTTTGAGGTGGACATTGAAAAGTGTTCTATGAAATATTTAATGCTTGGGAAATAGTTTCATAACCTAACGCTGCTTTAAATCTCTCCCCCACTTTATCCCTGACCTGATCTCCTGTATTATTTGTTGTCTAACATATCCTAACAAACCTCTAAGGCCTTTACAAAACAGCGGTATATATGCTGAGATTAAACTGCACACAGGCCAACTCTGTTTATGCACAGGGGGCACCGGCTATTATGTTGCTGCTGACCTGGAGTTCTCACCTCGCTTCTTCCTGTACTTTTAATCTGTTGAATTTATTGTTTTTATATCCTTCATGAATGTGAGAAGAATGACCATACAACATTCATGTTCCAGCCGTAAATTATTTAAATCACGTTGATTTAATTCATATCACATATATTTTTTTTAATCTTTTCTCATTCAAGTCATATTTGGCAAAGTTATTTACTTAATTCTGGAAACATATGAGATTAAAACAGATGAAAAATAGTTTTCTATTGTCATGCTGTTTTCAAAAACCTAAAGTGATTTTCCCATAGGCTTTGAAAAGCAGTTATTCAGAAAGGCAATCAGTTCCCACGGATTGTTATTTAGGGGTATCAGAGGAAAAGGGGCTGAATAGAAATGCTCAACATACTTTAAAGATCTGTATTTGTAAAACAGTAAAAGAAACATGTCTCAAATTGTCCTTTCATTTTATATGTAATACCCACTGCATGCTATTAGATGATACATGAAATGCTAAACAAATCCATCTATGAATAAAGGCAAAAAAGTAGCCAAAAATGGGAGTATATAAGTGAGCACATAACATCGTAAAAAAGTTTCTTAATTTATTGAATGATTGTAAAAAAAAAAAAAAAAAATAAATAAATCCAGTGAACCAACCTAATGTCTCTTTTATATATTTCTGTTTTGTTTTTTTGGCTATATGTGGGCTCTTTTATCCTTTATACATAAATAGGGAGAGATTAAACATTAAAACTACGTTTAAAGAAAGGAGATAAAGCTCCTTGTCTGGAGGAAACGCTTCCTCCTACTTTATCCTTAGTATATTATCCAGATCTCTCCTGTGTCTCCTATACATACACCAAAAAATAAATCTTCATACTTCTTGCTAAAATCCAAAAAACTGAAAAAAAATTGGCTGCAGTAATTAACATTTTAACTTTACCCATCTCTTTTGTATGGTGACATCCACTTGAGGCAGGCAGAAGCAGTTAAAAAAGTGGCTCTCTTAAATGTCAGGTCAGGATTAAAAAGAAGCTGTAATAGAAATGCTGTGATTTTGTCAGTGGAGCCATTACCTGTCTTCTGACCCGCTGAAACATGTACAGTAATATTCTGAAGAAATTGCTCTGGAAGCTGCGGATCTAGTCTGGATGTTGGTTAAGTCATAATCACACACTTATGCACCTAAGTGACTTTACTGTCTCCATAAAATGGAAATAAATGGTCTATTATGCAATTCAAGAAATGTGTAAGTAAAGAAAAGAGATGTGGCAATAAAACAGCTAATCATGAATGCTTCTTATTCCCATCTATGCCAGTTTGTTGCCAGCTTGTTGCTTTGCTTGTAAATAGCAATTGGTTTATAATAGTGCACATTACAGCACTTTTTGGTTCCTGTGGGAACTATTATATCAACATAGATATACAGCTGGTTACAGACTCTAAAGAAAAAATAAAGTAATGAATGTTGTTTGCAGTTTAAAATAGACTTTAATGATGGATGTGCTGACTGATATACTTGAGCTCTTAGTCTGCCATGATATGAAACCAGTGCAATGGAGCTTAAAAGCACATTATTTATTCCACAATAGTTATTGATTTTTTCTTGCTCTGTATTCTGTGTTAGATTGGGATCTGGTACTCCAACAACACTTTGGCGATGAACTCCACTAGTTTGGACATTAATGTCTCAGAGACGCTGGCGAACAAGACCCTCATTGTCACCACCATTCTGGTAAGGTCACAACTACCTCGCTAGTGTCCACACTGGCAAGTACCAAGCTGTTTTTGTGCTTGCCTGCTGCGCTGGAGCTCACGCTGTGCTTGGGTCTGTTTCTTGAAATTTAACCGTGGCTGTTGCTGTCATAGAAACTGACATAGCACTGAGAAGGACGTGTTACTAAATGACCAGAGTGCTAGTCTTTTTAAGTGTCCTTCTGTCATTTTTTTATGTTCAATGACATGTTATATATTTTCATCTTCATAATAAAACTGTGCTTCATTTAAAAAAGTTTAAATTAAACCCAAAATGCTTTTTGTCACATTTTGATCTCTACATATTGTAATGTTAATTTTTTTAACATGTGGTTTCTGTTTCTTGTAAGCTAAGGAGCAATATAGACAGAAAATATATCTTGCTAAAACAACTGAAACATATACAGAGTGAATTACAAGTGCCCTGTGACAAGACCACTTTGATCTCTATTGCTGAAAAATCTAAAACATTCACTTCAATTACACTTAACTGTGTTTCATAAAAGAGCATTGAGCACAAAAGTTTGTGCAAATCCTGTTTAACTGCCCCAGATGACCCTTTGCATTTTGCATGCAGGCCAAACTATATCTAAAGACAATGAAATGGTTTCTGAATTGTTTTCTGCTCTTTCTTTTATATGCATGGTCTCCTATGTCTTTTATTGACTTTTTCTGTACACTTAATTTGATCATTTTCTTACAGTTAACAGTTGAGCAAACAAATGTATCCCATAGAGATGAGATGTGTGTTAGGGCATGTTTTTCTCACCCACTCTTGTTCTGCCAAACCTAAATTTTGCAGATGACACCATCATTATCGTTTTGTGTATACGACTCTGATGAATTTTAAAAAGAAGAGATCAGAAGCCTGGATTCTGGACAACAATGAAGTTCTAAGTCTTAGCAAGTTGAATGAACTCATTGTAAACTCCAGGAGACTGAACAAGGAGGGCATGCCTAGGATACTAGGATCATTATGAATGAGGGTTTGAGATGCTCTTACTGAAAATAAACAAAACGGAGGCCCCTGTTTGTGCATCGTCTGAGTAGCTTGAGTATGGACTAGTAATCAACTATTATAGGTTTGTCAAGGCTAAAGCTGATTATTTTGAAACTGAACAATCCATAGAATTTTCTTATTGAGGATTCTTCAAACCAGACTTCCTTTTCCATGCTCCATTTAAATGATAAAACTGACATAATATAATGTTATACAAGTCTAAGTTCAGTTTGAATTCACTTAAGATGACCGTTACATGAACACAAATGACCTTTCTTCATCATTACTGTAGCCCACCCACCCTAACTACAGTTTACTGTAGAGAACTGATCGTCTTACCATGGTTAGACTTTTTTTTCCCTATCATAAGGTGGTCAAATTTTGATAAAAAAAAAAAAAAAAGAATTTCAATAATGCTTTCTATTGAAGTTTAGGAATTGTTCCTTTGTCTGAGACTTTGTTGCCATAATTAATGAAAGTCAGCCCCACCATGTCAGGAAAATGAATGCTTATTCATCACCGGTTTTATTGTTATTTCACACTAGTGTGCTGCACTTAGATTTCATACATAAAGACTGTGTCATTTCTTTTTTCATTTAAATCACTTGGTAGGCTAAAACTTTATCAATCAACAGATTACAGATTCAGGTTTCTGGGACTGAACCTTTTTCTCGTGAACCGTCATGCATTTATTTCCCAGCTGCACCACTTTTGACATAAAGCGAACATTCACTGTGATAGCCAAGCTGTTAGCGAAGTTTATCTGCATCAGTTTTATTCACTGGACAGACTGTAGTCTTTTTTTTAAGCTGTCAAGGTTTTTTCTCCTATAACCTGCTTCTGGAGCCATCTCCGGGTATCGAATTTTGTCTATTGAAGCAATTTTCAGTTGGACTTCTATAGCGGTGAGAGTCACACAGGGGGCAGATAAAAATGTTCTACAATGTACTGACTCTGCTGAGGCTCAGGCGCGCTGACTTTTAGCTAACAGAGGTCAAACTGGAAAAATGTCTCTTGAACATCCCTTAATGCATTTACAGATATATATTTTCCTCCTGACAAACCTTTCAAAATTATTTTTAGCTGATAAAAGACCTAAAATGGAGGTTTGCTGTTAAAAGTATGTTCCCCCTTTTGAGTTAATTCTGTTTTTGCTTTTTTGTCAGTCTCACATTTTTCTAGATCATCACGATACCTTTTAAACAAAGTAATAATATTTGTAAATACATAGGAGTGCTGCAATGAAGGAAAAGGCTACACAAACCACCCTGTCCCTCAGACAGCCAACACCTTTTTATTCAAGATGAGTAGTTAATGGCTGGAAAGTTGCATCAATTCTAACAGCAACACCTTAACCTGATTTCTACCTTTCTTGTTGGCCTTTCAAGTTACTAAGAAAGTACACAGCATGAAGTATGCTAAACAATCTAAAAAGCAAAACATCCTGCGGTGATCTAAGAAACATAAGAACACTTGAGAAACAAAGTCATTGACGTCTATCAGTCAGTCAATGATAGATGTCTATCAGACATCTATCAGAGACACTGACAAAGTGGTGTTCTTAAGATTCCAACAAACCACAGTGAGATTTATTTTCCAAAAGTAGAGAAATCATTGAACAAGAGGGAATTTTCCCATGAGCATTTAGGTTATCAAAGCTACTCTAGAGACACATACAGATCTCATCTAACGGGTCAAAAAAGAACGCAGTGGAACAGCTAAAGCACTGCGGATGTCAACTAAATCACTCAGGGGCTGTGATTCCGCAATAGAGAGAATAAAAACAGTGCATCTTTAGAGAATTCCAAAAGCAATCAAAGTTCTGTTTTATATTTGCCGCAAATTAAATGATGACCACAGAGAGAATAACTTTGTGGTCTGGGATAACTAAAACACTTGGAGAGATGTGCATCATGTTATATTCAGCATAAAGGAGCGATTTAGACAAAAAGCTCCATACTGACAGTCACAGTACTGTAGGTATAGTGTGGTGGTCTTGAGATGGAACAGTATCTGTTATTAATGCGACCATAAAATCTCCTCTCTACAAAAGAACCTAATCCCAATGTCAAGATATAATCTTAAACTTTAAAATTAAAACACCCAGGACAACCATCAATGCACACAAGTACATTGACCTCTTAATGTAAAAAGAACCATATAAAGGGTTTTTTATTAGGCAAAACATCATCTATATTCTGATATGGCAGGTCTTTGAATAATACGTTTATGCCAGATACAAATTCTGAAGTACCTGAGATAAAAATAGCAAAATCAAGGATTCCCAATTAGTTTTTATGGGGGCTGGCTTTGTTAGCTTTTCCCCTCAATAATGAAATAATTGTTTGATAGTCTGCTTTTTGAGTTGATTTCTTTTTCATTAAGAGGCTACAGAATATAAAATAAACAATGTAATTATCTAACACATAAGAGTGACAGTAAGATCTGAAGAGATGATTAAGAGGAAACACATTTTTTGAAAATTCCTAATTTTTAAGAAGATAATAAGCCATTGTAGAACAGCATTTAAATTTCTCCAGCTAATTTCAAGCAAATAGAAGGCTTATCAGAGCACAGAGGCCACACTACCTACAGTACGTCCTGAACAAGTTCATGAGGGAAAGTTTCAACTTCTGAGATTAATAGTTTTTCTTTTTATCAATTAGCTCTGAAACTCTTTGCAAGAAAACAAAAGTTATAATATTAAGCAATTAACTGTTTCTAGGCAATATTAAACGAACACACGAAGACTCTGCTTGCTTTCACTGAAATTCCTAATGTATTCACTCTTCATGTATATCCCTCCACAGGAAAATCCATACGTGATGCGCAAAGACAATTACCAGGATTTTGTTGGCAACGATCAGTACGAGGGTTTCTGTGTTGACATGCTGAGGGAGCTGGCAGATATCTTGAAATTCTCTTTCAAGATCAAGCTGGTGGATGATGGGCTGTATGGGGCCCCAGAGCCAAATGGCTCTTGGACCGGCATGGTTGGAGAATTGATTAACAGGGTGAGTGCCATGCAGAACATACAACAATCAGCAATAATAACCACAAATATGTGACAAACACACAGCAACACATTCACAAAGCCACATACTTGTACACACATTTGTGCTGTAGCCCCAAACCACAGTTCTGCTGTAACTTCCCATGTCTCAAATTGCCCTCAGAGGGGAGTAACACTCTTATCTAGGACAAAAGCTGAATTGATAATTCCCCAGAAGACACTGGAAAAATTGCTTAATATTGCCTGCTCTGTGTTTCCAAGCAGTAAACCACTACCAGCCACTTTATTTTGCATATATAAAAATATCTAAATTTTTCCACTCCACCTGTCCAGGCCTATTGAGCCTGTGACTGACACTGGTTGAAGTAGGCTAATGAGAGCCCCTCTCTGTTTAATTACCATACGGTATACTTCAATTACTGAGCCATGGTCCCTGTGTGGGGTCTGCCACAGCGGAGCTCCCCCAGCTCTCCATGCTTCCTCTCACTCCCCGCCCTCTTCATAGCACGATCACTCGGCTCTAATTAGTAGCCCATGTTCATCAATTAGCTTTTAATGGAAGAGATGGAGGGGAGGCAGACCGACTGGAGACCAGCAGGTTTTTATGCAGGTGGAAAGACCGGGCACCTCGTGTTTACTTTCAATTAGTTTAATTTGGATCATGGAGAAATGGCACAGGCATGCATGAGTCAAACGTGCACGTCTGAATATTTAATCTAAGGTGGTGCACTAAACTTTTCATGGCCCTTAAAGGCTGTGCCCTGCAAAAGTATTTTTGCACCTTGCATCCTTTCACATTTTTGTTGCATTACATCACATACTTTAATGTACAGAGGAAAAATTATAAAAAAAAAAATATAGAAATTGCACACATAATAATCTAAACCTTATGTGGTGAACTTGTCTTTACCTTCTCATTTGTATTCATCTCTGAACTCCAATGAGAAGTCTGGTAAACTTCTAAAATCCTATTTTTTTCTTATTTAATCTCCTATTATATCCTTTTATCCAATTATGTCCTCCAGGATTTTTCAGGATTTCGCTGCATTCGGCTCCATCCATCTTCCTATAAACCTTTGTACCTTTTGAAGGAAAGTTTCCCTCAGCATGATTATCCCAACAGTGTATTGCATAGAAGAAGTTTATTCAGATAAGCGGCAGCTTTAATTATCCGCTATACTTATGTTTTTTTTATGCAGACAAAAAAGTTTTTTATTATTGTCTCATCTGAAAAGAGTGCCTTTTCTAGCAAGTCTTCCTAGAGCAGCTTTTTTATATTGAGATAAAATTCACATTGACTCTCAAGTAGACTTCTGAGAGATATTTATTCCACTCATATTTATGGTGTATTAAATGTTGCAGAGTACAAATGCATAGCATCCTAAAAGTTAAAAAGTAAAAACGAAAAAGGCATTTATTATTTTCCCTCCATGTAATAAATATTCATCACAGGTTTCTACCAAAATCCCAATCAAATACTGAGAAGCATGAAACTGTTACATGGTAAAATGCAAGAAAATCTCAAGTGGTATGCATATATTTGCAAAGCTTAGGTGTTGTCATTTTTTTTTTCTGCTGACCAATTTCTGTCCTTCTTTTCTCCTTCTCTGCTTCTACTTCCTGCGCATCCCTGCTGCTTTCTACCTATCTATCTATCTGTGTCAATCCTCCAGAAAGCAGACCTTGCTGTAGCTGGCTTCACAATCACATCAGAGAGAGAGAAAGTTATTGACTTCTCTAAGCCGTTCATGACCCTTGGGATCAGCATCTTGTACCGAGTTCAACTGGTGAGGCTGTTATCGCAGGCTGTTGGGCACCTGCTGGCTGATACTTCAGATCTTCTACTGGATTTGATTTTTTTTGAAGCCCTCATATTGATGCTCAATCTTGTTGAGATGAGTTAAACTGTGCATTACTTAATAGCTAAACCCTTTGATGTTATTAGTGTAAGTCCTCAATGAACTTTATAGTGAGAATTTATTTTTGCTCAGTTAGTCAGAGCTGTGTAACACTAGCAGCTTTACATTGCTAATGAGGTTTTGGGTCCATGCCAGACATGGTCTGGCAGAAAGCATTGTTAAACAGCTTTTATGGATCCAAGCATTAGAGTATCAAAGCACTGCAGACGCTTTATTATTGTGCAAGTGAAGACACTGCCCCCCTGTGGTGTGACTTCTGTCTCTCTATCTGTCCCTGTCTGTCCCAATTTTCTCATCTATCTTTGTCTTTTCCTCTTCTTTTTACACTTTTTTTCAGGGTCGGAAGCCAGGTTACTTCTCCTTCTTGGACCCTTTCTCTCCTGCTGTCTGGCTCTTCATGTTACTCGCCTACCTGGCTGTCAGTTGTGTGCTCTTCCTGGCAGCAAGGTCAGTCCATTACATCACACACTGCGCTGATTGTCTGCAGCTCACATCTGAGCTCTCTTCCCATTTATATTGTTAAACACAAGCGACCTGTCATATATCATTTTTTTCAATGGACCCGTCATCCCCTCATACAGCTTGACAGGGTTTCTATATGACTGATTGGCTTGTATAAATGACAGAGGTGCATCACCACGTTAGAGTTTGTCCTCAAGGTTGCTTTTGTGTATTCCTCGTTTCTCGTCAGGTTAAGCCCCTATGAGTGGTACAACCCTCACCCATGTCTGCGGGAGAGCAGGGACATGCTGGAGAACCAGTACACACTGGGAAACAGTCTATGGTTCCCTGTTGGTGGCTTCATGCAGCAAGGATCAGAGATAATGCCCCGAGCATTGTCCACCAGATGCGTCAGCGGTGTTTGGTAAGTCAGAGAGGAGTTAAGCTGTTCATATGCCTGGCAGTTTAACGCCTCTCATCCTTATAGAAATGTGTTTTACATTATCTGGTATTTTCAAGGTTTGGCCTTGACAAAAAAAATAAGTCGTTTGTGCAGACAGAAAAGGCTGCCTTTAGTTTTCCCATTGCACATCTGAAAATTAGTTTGAAGACATGCAGAGTTTGTGATATAACTGAGCTTGGAAACTAATGAGCGAGAAAGAATCAGAAAACTAGGGTGGCCATATTTTCATTTGGGAAAACCAGGACACCTTGGAGTCAGATATGTGGCGGTAATGTTTGATTTATCTAAAGGTTTTAATCTGTTACTGTGTAAATGGGTTTGGCTGTAATTTAAGGACAGATTCTACTATATCTGCAGAGTGGGGACTATAAATCTGATAGGAGTTTAATTTTTTTATTGTTGTTTTGCACAATATGCTTAACTAAGTATTTTTTTGTTGTTGAATATTAGAGATTTTGCAGATACATTTCGTAGATACATTGTTTAGACTTACCTATATATTTCTAACCCTTTTATAGAATAGAATAGAAAATCCCTTTATTGTCCCACAATGGGCAAATTTACAGCAGCAGAAAGATTATTGAAAATGGTCACACAAATGTGGATCTTAGAAAAATGTATAAGAATAACATAATAGGGAAGAGTTCAAATATAAAAAATAAAATTCTGTAAAGTGTTTTAACAATACAAAACTGGAGAATTAATAACCAATATGCAGCTATGGACATTTTTACAGTGATGGATATTTGAAAATAGCAGCAACATCAGAGATGTGCAGAATGACAGCAGCATTTTATTTAACTGACTAAGGTTTATATCATTACATTTGATTTGATTTGTTCCTGCTCCCGGTGGTTGGAACCTTTATTCCACTCTGGATTCTTGTGAGTGTAGTTTTTGTTCACTTTAGCTTTTTAAAAAATAAATAAATAAACAAACAGTTTTGAAAACCTCGGTGTTCATTCTTTTCCTGCTTTGTGTGTCAACTTTCACGGTTGCTAAGCAACAGAGCATACGGCGGTAAAACCCGCTGAAGGGAGAACCTGTTCGAATTCACAGCCAAAACTCTTCCGGCCTCCTTATTTTCAAGGACTTCGAAGGATCCAGTCTAGGTAGACCGCGTCCTTGGAGGATGCGTCCTAGGTTTTCGAACAGAGCCTTAAAGGAATAGTACACCCAAAACATGATTAGCCTTCATTTTCTACTCACCCCCATGCTGAACAAAACTCTGGAGTACTTTTTTGATATCTCAAATGCATCTGGAGATCTGGGAGGCTTCTTGCTGTCTGCTGACATTCAAATAATGGAGGTCTATTGTGCCCGAGACAGAAAGGTCCACAAAAGTCCACAAAAACGTGTCAATATTCCTCCATACTGCTCGTCCAATGTAATCCAAGTGTCCTGAGTGGGTAGCATCCAGAATTTACTCGAAACGAAGTCATTTAGAACGTTTTAGAGCCTAAACAGTAGTGTATAGGATTTCCTAATAGCGCCCCCATGCGCGCTCACGATTCTACGGAAGCCGGCAGACCAAACCGGAAGGAAGTGCGCATTCAGCGTCTGCTCTGCCGATAATGCAAGCGTAGAAGAAGAAATGTGCTGTTTACCTGTGCAAAGAAAGAAACAACGAAAGAAAAATGTCTGAGGACTTCAGTGTTGAGGAAGAGCATGAGTTCTTTGCCGAGCTGAATGCGCTGGTTTGGTCTGCCGGCTTCCGTAGCGCCGTGAGCGCGCATGGGGGCGCTATTAGGAAATCCTATACACTACTGTTTATGCTCTAAAAACATTCTAAATGACTTCGTTTCGAGTAAATTATGGACGCTACCCACTCAGGACACTTGGAATACATTGGACGAGCAGTATGGAGGAATATTGACACGTTTTTATGGACTTTTATGGACCTTTCTGTCTCGGGCGCCATAGACCTCCATCATTTGAATGTCAGCAGACAGCAAGAAGCCTCCCAGATCTCCAGATGCATTTGAGATATCAAAAAAGTACTCCAGAGTGTTGTTCAGCATGGGGGTGAGTAGAAAATGAAGGCTAATCATGTTTTGGGTGTACTATTCCTTTAAGAACAGGGCTGCCCGCACTGACGCGGCTCAGGGATTACGTCACACGGAGCGTTGTGCGCAGTGAAATCAGGACATTTCCTTACTTTCTAAAAAAAAACCCGGGACGCCCGGGACAGGACGTGAAATACGGATATGTCCCGGGAAATACGGACGTTTGGTCACCCTAAGAAAACTGAACCACTTTATGATTCTAACAGCTTCTCTAGAAGCCAGCTGAGCTTAGTTTTTATTCTTCTCAACACTAATTGAAAAGGCTTCACTATGTTCAAAGTTGTGGGAAGAGAGATACAACACTTACTTGTATCCTTTTTCTTTCAAAGAGCCTCTTTTTTGCATTTTTATTAGATGTTTTAGATAAAAAATGTAGACTTTGGATTTAGGGTAAATAACTGACACAGGTTTATTTTCCTGTGTGTCAAGATTTAATGCAAACAATGAACAAATACAAATCTAATAAAAGTTCAAACTTAATGATGCTCCTGGGGTTAACTCTGACAGAAAGGTGCTAAGAGAAATAAGTTCTACAGATAGAGATAAAAAGAATACGAGGACGGGGACAGCAGATCACACACAGTTAAGTGAGATAGGGATAATAAAGAACGTTATGGTACATGACATTCATTTAGAATTAAGTTAAGCTGGTAGGGAAGAAAGGACACTGAATTTATCCAAGGATATGACATACAGTATTACACAACACTTTAAACAAGTATCTAAGACTCTAAAGTGTTTTTTTTTTAAACAGATTTTAACTATTTTAAATATCTAAATTTAAAGGATATCTCATCTTTTTTTTGTTCACTAGTTTTTGGTTTACTAGTATTCATTTAGTCTGTGAAAAGCATTTGTCCGGAAAATTTCCTTTATCATCAAATGTATTTTATATTAATAAAAAGTCTTTTTCTCAGCCTTCAGACATAGATTCACTGAAGTAACCAAGATTATTAATCCATAGGTTTTGAAGTGACTTTGGTGGACCTTTGCAGCTGAATGTAAATATATCCTTAAGGACCTTCTTTTGAAACTAAATGCACAGTCTCAATGAATAAGGAAGGGGGGATACCCAAGATGTTTCCATAAAGCTGCAACTTTAAAATGTCCAGGACTGTTGAAGCAATGAGAGTTTATTTCACTGAAATTGCTGGTTATAAGACTTGTAAGCATAGTGATGTAGATTAACAGACGCGATATGAGAGAAGTGAAGGAGATTATTATTATTATTTGAACTCATGAAGTTCGGTTTAAAGTCACTGAGGATTTGCCTGTAAATGTTGTTCTGCAATAAAATCACCTGACAGCTCACTGACAGTTGTGAGCTCTTCACACCACATTTTGTACAATGTTCTGTGTAGTTGAGTGAACATGCAGCACTTTGCTTTAGAGTCTTACTCTTGTTATGTCATTGACAAGACGTTTTATATTATGGTAATTACCAAAGGTACAATCACCTTGAAAAATGACCTGAATAAACACTGAAGGTTAGAATTTACCCATATTAAAGTTTGTAATTTACTGATTAGCAAAATGTTCATTAAGGACAGGTGTGTTGTTACAGAGGATAATAACATGAAGTAATTAAAAATAAACATGCTGTGATTGATTCAATTTTTCCGGTTGTTGGTTTCAGACTGCTTAATAAAACTGTAAAAAAGGTCCATGGAAATTAGTTTATAATGGGAATTAACATGTATACTTAACACTATCTGGCCATGATCCTATTATGCAGGAGCAATTGAGCCAGATATGAAACAGGTTTAAGGGACCTAGTGAGTGTCCTCCAGACAATTGCTGCCAACTTAGGTTTCTTACTCGCATTTTGTTAGCACATAACACTTACCTATTTATTCTCCATCATGTACAACATTGATCTCTTAAATAGACCTGCAGTTCTTCAAGTCTGAGTATTTTTTTGGTTAGAACAGCACAGGACATATGCCTTCTATGCTGTGTTGTCTGAACTCTGTTGTCCTCTGTATGCATTTGGACAATGGGTACTGGTTTATAATTTTTATTTTTTACTAAATGCGCTTATTAAGCAGAATGCTTGTTGGTTTTGACATTGCCTTATTTAAATAATAACCTAAAATTAGATGGTCAATTATTCAAGCTATATGTGCAGGTAGATGGAAAGATCTCAGCTTTGCAACTTCTCTTTCTTAAAAGTGTTACCTTAATTGTGGGGGGACATTGGGGTCAAAGAGAGGTGGCCTAGTGGTTGGGGCATTGCAGTTGGTATCCAGAGGTTCTGAGTTCAAGCCCCACTCCCACAGACTGCCACTCTTGGTCCCTGAGCAAAGATCCTTAACCCAACACTGCTCCCTGGGTGCCGCACAATGGCAACCCACTGCTCCCCAAGGGGATGGGTTACATGCAGAGAGTTCAATTGATGCTCTATACTTGTGACAGTGTAATGACAATAGAAAAAGCTGCAAAAATATCAAAGACTTTCATTCTTAAAAATATATTTTAGATATTAGGAATGCTATGAGACAAAACCTGTCCTTACATGTCCTCTAAAAATCCTTGCTGTACTTTGATCCCAAAAATGGATCCCTGTTGATAAATGGACATTTTCCAGCTTAATCAATGAGATTACCTGCAGGCATCATAATAAATATTTTGTGTAACAGGTACAATGATAGCAGACCTATGATGTCTAATCACTCCTTGTTTCATTTCCCTTTTTTTTAGGTGGGCATTCACATTGATCATTATTTCCTCCTACACGGCCAATTTAGCAGCCTTTCTAACCGTGCAGAGAATGGAGGTTCCTATCGAATCTCCCGATGATTTGGCCGACCAGACCAACATTGAGTATGGCACCATTCATGGAGGGAGCAGCATGACGTTCTTCATGGTAAATTTTTTTTACAAAAAAAAGTTTTATTTCTGTGTTTGAGATGCACAGCATAGACTGGATTTTTTTTTTTTTGGGCTTGACTTGTTGATTCTAATTTCCTTTCTAAGAATGATAAGACAAAGTAATTTATGCAAACTGTTTTAATCTAACAAAGACTTGTAACAATAATTAACCATAAATGGTAAAAAGTCTGCAGTATGTTAAGTAGTAGAAGTAGTAGTTTTGAATTCAACAGAAAATAACGGATATTATATTGCTTTAACTATTTTCACAGCTTTTTGATTTTTTTATTTACTCAAAATAAAGTGCCTCAATATTTGTTGGATGGTTTTCGCAACCTTACTTTGCACCAGCATGAAGTTAGGCTTTTCTTTCTTTTTTAAATGGATGTACCATGTTGCTTTTTAAATTTTTTTTTTTTTTTGCAGTTGTGTGCGCACTTGTTGCAAATAGAGTGGATGTTTGTCATGACATTTTCTCTGAGTTTCTATGTGCTCCTCTTTGTGGTTGCTTGTATTAGGTGGGTGACTGCCCGTGTTTGCTTTATCACAGTGCTTTAGGCGTATGATTTGACATCTGTGTTTGTCGTGGTGTTTTTTCTCTGTGTGATGGTGGTGTGTTTGCCTTTGGGGATGAGCGTAGGTGAGAGTTTAAAAAATATATTTTTGTGCATTTAAGGGAAGTGACTACTTGACAAGTGTTGTTTGGTTTTTTTCTCTTTGTCCCTACTAAAGATAGAATAGAGCATTGTGTGTTTGTCTACATAAGCCGGTTTCATTGTTACAGTACATTACCCCACTCAGTATCTGATCCACAGAAACATACAAACATGCTCGCATCATTACACACGGATAGAACCCCTGCTACTGTTTTTCTACATTTACAGGTACAACAGTGTAAGAAAACAAACATAAGAGAATCAGTCAGCCATGAGAGGAAAAAGTGTTTGAAAAATGTTTGAATTATTCTTAAAATGTTTTTGTCACATAATAAAATTTTGATGTGACAGACCATCCTGATTTGTGCATAAATTTAAAATGGTCTTTTTGAGTAGATCTTGAACAGCTTTGCATATACAGAAACTGAAAAGTTGCTGTTCTTTACAATGTAGCTTAGATTGGATCTGTGGACATTACATGAAAAGTCAGCTTTTCCAGTTTTTACCTTGAACTGATATCATTTTTATCTTTTTATTTATTTGGTTTGTTTGTAGCCCTTTGTGATATTTATATGTAAAGTGCATTATAAAACGTATTATTATTGTTTTTATTACCTCCAACCCTATGGCTTAGAACTTGAGCTTTCTCTGCAACATTTCCTCCCCAAACTGCCAGTAATAAAGGCAATTTTGTAATTTAAATGTCAATTTGAACTACTTCTGCACCTATTATCCATTGTACAAGCAATCTATGTAGCTCACCCACAACACGTACGCTAATGCATGTGCAATTTTATTTGATTGTTTGGCATTAACAATTTTGCCCTCATATGCACATCTTTTAAATTTAGGTCAATAGTGTTTGCATGTAGACAAAAACCAAAAACTAAATTTTTTTTGTCTCTTCTCAGTAGAGGAAATTCTTTCACAGGCAAACTGCAAACAAGACTTTGTTTCATTTGTTTTGATTTTGGAGAATGAACCTAATAGCTTATTGAAAAATAGCACATACAGTAAGAATAACTTTGGCTTTCTTTCAACAACTTAATCTCACCTATCAGTTTTAGGGGTGGATTTGGGGAGTACCTGACAAAATGTTGTTGTGTCAAAAGTTTTTTTTTCCCTTAACTGTGGATATATTGCAGCTATTTAACTATTACAGAACCATGAAGATCTTGGCTATATCCAGTATTATTGCTCCTCTTTCCCACCTTTTCAATTTAGGTGGATAAGCATGTCAAGGTAGCTTTGCTGTTGCGTGATACATCATTTTCAGATAAGGCACTGAATAATGTTCCAGTATCCAACACTAAGATATCGTGTTGATATCTCAACCCTCATTTAAACCTACAAGTCTTAACTCAGACATTTATTTGTGAAATATCTTTAAATGTGTATCTTTTCCCTTTCTCCTGATAATCATTTACAACTTTGCGTTGGCCTATGACATAAAATCTTGATAAAAGAAAATGGGTTTTGCGACTCTTAAATGTTTAAAACATCAAACTTTATAGGTTTTTATAAATATATTGCAAGGAGTTCAGATATATATCAAAACAGAGGACTACTTTTTCATGAGAACTCCTAATTAACATTCTGGTCCCAGATCTGACTGAGGTGAATAAATGATGCTTTATTAGTGTTAAAGGGCCAAAAATAACAGAGTTGTTTCTTTTGTTTAAATCTCTGATTGACAGCACAACAGGAATAAACATACTACCCGGGTTGTGTTTTGTGTTTTTATTGCCTTTCATGATAATGGACCTGCATGAAGGTATGCGGTTTATAAGCATATGCAATGATCCATTATAATACAAATAATGACACGCTTAAACCGCATAGTGGGACAGAAATCTTACAAGGCTGTTTTATCACAGGATTCATTCTCAACTTCAACCTTCACTAAAGCTCTGCAGGAAAGATGTCGAGTTTATGGACCTAGCATTGAAATGTTGCTATAATGACACAAAAATATTGTCACAATAATCATTGTTTCATCGTAAACCCACCAGATGGCAATTTTAGCAAGAGTGGCAGGCAGTGTAAAAGCAACACCGTTACAGAACAAGTGATGTGATTGGCTATTATTCACCAAAAGGAAAGTAACAGAGCTCTGTTGGCAACCAGTCTGCGTCTCATGTTTTGTTTTAGATCCAATATTTACTCTTGTTTTCTGATTAACTTGTCTTTGTCCTTTTCTGTTCGCACCTCTTTTGGTGCATGACTTCAGATGCAAAGTTAATGTTTTTTTTTCTATACATACATTAATGGCACACCATTAATGTATTTATAGAAAAGCAGCTATACACAACTTCCTTGGTGTATAGCTACTGAAATGTTACAGTAAAGAAAAAGGTCTGTATGTTTCAGGCTGCAAGCCAGCAAAGTGTGACAATGTGCTATTTATTTTTTCTCTTGTCTTTATCCTTGCTGGGCTGATATTTATAGGTTACCATTATTAACACTGGGCTTTGTCTCCAGTCTGCTTACTTCACAATTTATCTCCATGGTCAATCTCTCTTATTTTCTTTCTGCACTGGTTTACATTTGACGGATAAGTAATGTAAACAATACCCACAGTAAAATTTCCATTTTCCTGCAGAACTCAAGGTACCAGACATACCAGCGGATGTGGAACTACATGAACTCCAAACTGCCAAGCGTATTTGTGAAGAGCACCGAGGAAGGTATCGCCCGTGTGCTCAACTCCAAGTACGCCTTCCTGATGGAGAGCACTATGAACGAGTACTACCGTGGCCTCAACTGTAACCTCACACAGATAGGAGGACTGCTGGACACTAAGGGATATGGCATCGGCATGCCTCTGGGTGAGCATGTTACAAAATCATTTTTTTCTGACAAAACAAAAAGTTTCATCACCTAGAGACAACAGGGGATTGAACTATCTTACCTTAGCTACAAACTTTGCTTTTTTTGTTTCATATGATTAAAGAATGATCCTTAGTTTTTATTGGTTTTTGTCTACATAACTTTAATTACCATATATTTCAAGTCAAACACAGAACATTAACTGCAAGAATTTCCTTAAACAGGAAACTTTAATATGTATGACTGGACTGAAATGACTGTAAAATGCCTTGAGATCACCTGTGTTATAAATTGGCACCGTACTATACAAATAAGCAGAATTAATTTCCACACAAAGTCAAACACCCTATCATATGACAAACAGCTTCAAAAAATTATCTCCAAAAAAATGCCAACAGCAACACTAAAGCCACTATATTACACACACTGGACCTTTCACCGTTGCTGTTACACTGCCACAGAATCCCACCAAAACCATTAACAAAGACAAGGTAAATACTGCAACATGTTGGCGAAAATTAAAATCGTATGCACAACAGGAAATATGAAACTGGTATTTTGAAAGCCTGGTTTAAAAAGATATTGTTTATTGTCATACAAAAAACACTGGCAAACATCTTTGTGATTACACCTAATCACATCTCCTGCTTGTGCATGGGGCTTCGATCTAATATAGCATATATTATGGTGTGGTGTTTGGTAACAGTGAGATAAGGGGTTGCTGATAATGGGTTCTAACATTAGTTGTTGATGTAAAAAACAACCCAATACATCATAAAACTTAAAATGTGAATTCAATGTTTTTTTTGCACCCTATAGGGTATTAGCTTAAAGTTTAAAGTTTATCTCCATGTTTTAAATTGCATGAATCACACTGTAATGGTGTGTTCACACCGAGTGCAAATAATGAGAGTGATTTACATGTTAGCTCTATGTAGGGGTGTGTTCAGTTTTTAGTAATGTGAATTGTGCAATAAGGATAAATAGAATGAAGCAGGAGCAATACAACTATCCTGAAATGTAAAAATCTGAGCTTTTCTGTAAATTTGCTCTGCATCGATGATGCTTTGCATTAGGGACGTGATGTTGTCACAGTGTAGGGCGAATGAGCGCAGCAGAGAAAAAGCTTCTTTCAATCAAACTGGAAGATAAAAAGATTGATGTTGACATAATATGAAGTCCCTTTAGAGGTTTGTGGTTGTTTTTCTTTTTTGAAAACTTGCTTTATTTTAGCCTTTAGAAAGGCTGTTTAATCATTCAACCCCCCTTTTGAACTGTAGCTCCAGAAAAGGGCCAAGCCAGCAGCCTCGGCCCGGCCTTTTGCTCTGTGCTCCTTTTGTCTTTTCATGTCTGACCTCCAGAGTGCCTCCTCGCCTTACCCCTGCTGTCTGGGTGAATTGTCTCTGAAGATTACAGTTTCGGGTCTTGGTCAGACAGATGTCAGCTAGGATCCACCTGTAGCTCCTGAAATCCCTGAACTGGGAGCATCTCTGGAGAAGCTGGTTGCTCAGCTTTCCACATTAAATACATTACTCTCCCCTCTCTGTAAGATCCAGGTCAGACATCTTAAGATGAAACCAAGAAGTACATAGAAGTTCCTCCTGTTTTTTCATGCATTAATTAAGTAAAGTGTCTTCCTCATTGGCCGTACAAATTGTAACGTAAAACATTTACCGGAATCACATTCTGTACACCATGATTTTTGGTGCACAGCTAAAAGAGTTATTTGTTGTCTTACTTTTTGTGTTATTAACACTTAATGTTTTAGTTAATATTTTAATATTACTGAACATTTTTTCGAGTAATAAATATAAACATACCTAAGGATCCATTGGCAGATATAACTATGTTAGATATGGGGTACGTCGGTGCCACCTAAGTTAGGCTTGCAACCAAGGATCTGATCCTTCAACTGGCTGTCGCAGGTTTGAGTCTCGGCCTGTTGACCTATGTTCAATGTCTTCCCTTTTCTCTACGCCCATTTCATGTCTAATTATTTTCAGAAATAAAAGCCACTAGAGCCTAAAATAATCTAAAAAAAAACTAAAGAATTATTTTTTTTAAAATAAACCCTACCCTATTGCACCTCTGGTAAATTTGTGTAGAAAATCCTGAGATAAATAATTATTTCATTGCAATTAAAAATTATAGGCAGAAAATATGTTGAGTGTTACTTTTCTTTTTTGATTTTATCAATGCATAGAGGTATTTTAAATAAGTACTTAGTAGATTATTTTCTGGCTCATCTCTATTAGCCTCTCTCCAAACAGGAAGGACAAGGGCTTATTACTTACCTTAGGCAGATATGATATTCCCAATCTTGTGTGGTTAGTGTGTTCTGTTTTTCAATTGTTTTTAAAATTTTCTGTTCTCTTGTGCATATTTGATGTACTCTCTCCCATTATTTAGAGCCCCTCTCCCTTTCTCAACTTATCTTTCTGTCTCTGTGTCAACTGCATATAATATTTCTCCACAAGTCAAGTATAATAAAATTTCATACAGAATTACCGAGTTGAACAGCCATGATGGTTTAATTGTGAAAGCAAATCTGTACGGCTATCACTTAGCACCTGGACATAAATTCTCAGTGCAATTTTGGCAAACAGGACACTTAAAAAGGGAAAAACAAAATACAAAAAAAACAAAAAAACGAGAGCAGGTGTGTTTGCATTCTGATTAGTCAAGAGTTGGTTCAACGACAAAGTTTGTCACCTCTATTAGTCAGAACAAAAAAAAGTGTTTAAAAAAATGCCAATTTGATAAACCAGGTCTGTCTTGCCTTAATTAATTGAGGAGGAAGGCAGACGGCAGATAAAAAGAAATATTCAAAGCTGACTGTTAGAAAATCTTGGAATCACGTATTATCTCTATTACTGTTTTATGGTATTTGTGAACATCGATATGTTTGCATAGGCTTTATATTCAAATCCCTTTTACTGGATAAATCATAAAGCATGGATTAAACTTTGTTAGATGGTTTAATTCATTCAAAGAAGATCAATACCAAATCCTTGATATGAGATCTTTAAAACAGAGTCTTTTAAAACTTTAGAAATGACAAAATGCACACAGTAACACCAGTAAGGATAAACATTTTTACATCTCTCTTTAGGCGTATATAATTTCTCATCACATTTAGTAGAAAACATTTTATATTTTTAAGCCAGTATACTTTTATAACAAACGAACTGGTAAATTGTGATAAATCAACGACAGCAAAACTGTCAGAAAATGAAATTGACAGTGGAAGACGTGGTCATGAATTAATGAGTGTCTGCACAAGCCTCTTAACGATTTCTGAAATAAACATCAATAGGGATTAAGTGGTTTTTCAGGCTTCAAAGGCTACAATCGCCTTATGAATGTTTTCCTCTCCTCGCATGCTTATGGCTTAAAGGTCATAGACACCCGTCACTGATTAGACCGATGACAGTCATGTATTGAAATAAATTTTCAAAGCAATACAAGACAACCTTAGAACTCTACTTTTTAACCTTGCAGAGTTTTGCAGTGTCTGTGCCACAGTTTGTAAAGCAAAAAATACAAAACAAAGTGGTAAAACATTTCAAACAAACTGCATTTAAATAGAAATGTTGTCAGGAATTTCAAAGCTTTAGGGACCAATAGACATAAAAATGAAACATTTAATTTAGATCGTGGAAGAGAAAGCTACCTTTTCAATTGTTTTTGGCATGTACATTCTTTATTGGCCTTGAAAGTAATTTCATGCTTTAGCTGTTTTGTTTAGACTTTGTTTGGGTTTAAAAATGAGCGTCTTGTCATACGATGTTTGGTACTGATTTGAAATCAATTCTTCCCCATCTTGGGAGCAATTCATACACTCGTGGACAAAGGATGATTCATATTATTTACCATCTACTACTGTATAAAGACATTTTTTTTCTTTTATTAATATCTTCTGCTTGCAAAAATCCCGGTATATTTATTCTGGTTTAGTTAGGAATCAAAACCTTTTTACTTCGGTGTGATTTTTGGGATAGTTTTGCAATATCATCTTCCATTTAAATTATTTTTAAGGCATAGATGCAAAAAGAAACATAATTGCATGTCTGTTAGACACACTGCTCTCTAGACAGTAAAAAGCAGTTATACTACTACCATAGAAAGTCTGAAGAAAGGAACCCAAAGCTCTAATTGACAAAGAAAGAGAATACACTTATGAAAACAAATAAATACAAGAATAGCACCCCCATTAAAATTGCAATTAAAAGCTTACTTCTTTTAGAGGCAAAAGAGAAGCAGAGTTGGGTAGTAACTAGATACATTTACTCAGTTATATTTACTGGGCCTTTTGAAAAAAAAAGGGTTCCTCAACTAAATTATTTTCTCTGTAGTTTTATTGGATTGCACTTTATACACTTGCACTTTTTACTTTTACATGCGTAAAAATATGATGAATTATTGCTACTTTTGAGCTAAATTTCTGACTACTCTACCCATCATGAGTAACATAAAAACTTAGTGAGTAATATAGAAAAAGAATATTTCAATCAAAAATACACTAAAGAGACAAACCCACAGTTCATGGTTAAAGTGAGACTTTTCTTCAGCTTCATTATTTTAGTGTTCTTTTCTCTGAACAGAGGACGTATAAACTAAAATATGATGACACCGTCCAAGTTTGAATACCCTTAAAGAGAAACACATCTTTCTGTCTTTGCAAAAAACTCTAAATCTATTCAATTCAGAAACATATTTTTTTGTGGGCCTCTTTTGGATCATCGCTCAAATTTGCAATTAAATTCAGATCCTGGGTCTGGCTGAGTAAACTCTGCCTTAAATCCTTCAGGTGAAGGCAGCTTTTTGTTGATTTGTTGATAACAGTGATGGAAGTTGCTCTTCCTGATCCTGTTTTAATGAAAGGCTAAAAAGGATTTTACACCATCCGCTGAGAGTTTGAACTATTTATGTTGCTATACATCTTTGATTAGAGCTATAGTTTAATAAAAACAGTCATAGAAAGTTATGCCCCTATCCCCATGCTTTGCTGTGAGTGCAGTGTTTGGGGCTGTTTTCCTGCCAAACATACAGTTTGGAACTATATTAAAATGTTCAGGCATAATTCTTTTCATACATGCTTTTAAGAAACTTCAAATGTTTTTTGCAAACCTTTATCAAGCTTAGATGTCTTTATTCATCAGATCAATAAAAACAGTACCAGTGGTTGTTGTATCAGGCAATACATAGCTGCTCTAATGTCGCTGTAAGTGTCTTGGCACTCTCTCTGATTAGTTTTCTTCATGTCTTTCTATCAGTTTAGAGTGATGTGCTGTTTTTGGTAATGTCACTGTTGCTCCACTTGCTTTCTTAACTTGATGAGGTGTGTCTTCACTGCTGCATGGTACATTTATCTGATGTATTTGATTTTTTTTAAAACCCTTATACTGACAGAACCAGTTTAATGTTGAAATTTCTCTAGCACGTTGGGAGATCTTTGCAGATCTTTCTTTTTGATTTTATTTATTTCATAGAAAAAATTATGAAGAATATATATACATTTTTAATCTGTGTTTGTCTATGATTGAATTGTATGTTTTTGGAAGCTGGAATCTGAGTCCTCCACCTCTGTTTAAAGTTGGTTTTTCAATCATAGACATGATCCCTTCAAGATATCACCAAACCCCCCACCCCATCACAGAGGAACGAGGGACCTACCCGCTCCAGCCGGTGAACAATACTTCCTTAATGACCGACTCTTAATATTCATAGAAAGGTTTCAGGTATTACAGGAGACAATCCCCCGCTTAACGGCAATCCCCCCCCTTTAACGACCGACCCTCAGAATCATAGACAGGTTTCAGATATTACAGGCTAAACCGATTCATCGGTTACCATTTGCATGTTTCCAAGCGATACAAGGCTTTGTCTATATAAGACTCAAATTCACTGTGGATCCAGACATTTGAATTAAGAAAGCTTCCTGGAGAGGTGGCGAAACGTCTTCAAATGTTGGAAACCAAGTCCAGTGGATATTTTTTGAATTTTTACGGAATGAATACTCAAAAGAAAACATAACAGAACCAAGACTGTGACAGGTGGTTAATTATGAACACTGGTGCTTCCAACATATAGAAGGATGTGGGCAAAGTGCAAACACAACATCCTTTCTGGAAAAAAACTAAAATTCTTTTGAGTTGTACAGGTAAGCGTCACGTAATTATTGGAAAATCCTCTAACATGATTTTTCTTTGTAGTTATATTCATACAAAAACAAGAGCTGCATTTTAACTGGGATGAGTAAACGTTAGAATCACAGTGATTATTGAGACGACAAATGGACATCCTGAAATGTTGAAGTCGAGCTCTGCTGTGACCTTTTTTTTTATTTTGCACAGTTCCACAATGACATTCTATGTAATATATCTCAGGGTTGCCTTTCCTCAGAAAAGTTATGAACTTCTGCTATCTTGAATCAGCAAAGGACTCAGTCATTTATCTGGGAGCTATTTACAGTTGAGAGTAAAGTAGGTCACCTATAGCCCCAGTGAACTCTCTGAGAAACGGAGTGGGGAATAATCTGCCGAACCGGTGAACAGCTGCAGAGGAAGTGGCACAGAGTGACTGAACATTTCCAACAAAGAGCAGCGTGTTATAGAACGTGCCTGACAGGGATTAATCTCACACATAATGCCTTAAACTTTACCAATAAAAAAACAAGAAGTTATTGCCTTTAAGAGAGGCAGAAACAGCTGCTAAGATCAGTTACGCTAAACAGACACATGGACTTGTTGCTTACTTTTTAGATTAGATCAGGAAAAAAGGCTTGTGTTGATTTATTTTTTTATCTGGGGGATTAGAAAGTATTTGAAGTGGAAGTAATGAACAGAAAGTTAATTGCTTTTCAACTCACGGGCAGCTCTATTTAAAGCTTTTTCACTGTTTAGCCCATGGTAGTAATGTCACCGATTCATTGGTCTGTTTTAATGAGGGGTCCAGTCTTGGATGGACTTTCTGTTATGGATCAAGGAAGTTAAGAGAGGGATGTGCAGAAGAATTACGAAAAAATAGTAGAAGGATTTTTATATTCTGCTGAAAAAGAATGAACAGATGGCACAGACTTGCAAAATTACCCTCTTTCAGGCTTTTTAATGCAAATCTTGAAGCTTCAATATTATTATTATTTAGTTTATTTGGGGTGGGGGTGGGGTGGGGGGGGTTATTTTGTAGACATAAACACAAAAATGTACAGATCCTAAAATTGTGTTGAGCCCTTCTCTAAAATATTCTTAAATGAAATGAAGTGAAACCCTTAGAATATGTAGATCATAATTCTACAAAGATCTATTTACAGAATGATTAAACCTGGTGAATAAACAGCATAATTAAACTCAAAGAACACAGCAGACAGATCAAGAGAAAGCTGTGGCTCTTAGGTTATAAAACATCATCAAGCTTTAACCATGTCACAGAGAATTTTTTATTTTACCATAGAAAAATGTAAAGGGCTGGCACAGCTGCAAACCTGCCAAGACATGATTGACACTATTAATTCATTACCAGTCAGGGAAGTATTTGGCATGATGTCAAACTCACAGAGACAAAACATTTCAATAAATGGGCAGGAAGGATAAGAAAAGCATTGATCAGAGAAGCAGCCAAGTGGCCCTATAGTCTCTCTGGGAAATCTCTAGAGATCCGCAGCTCAGGTGCGGCATTTTGTTGACAACTCATTAGATGTGCCTTCCTTGCTCTGTTATAAGAATGTAAAAAAAATGCTATGATAGAAAAACCAATATAGCTGCTGTGTGTATCTGTGTGAAGAATGACACCCTAATGACAACGAGACAATGTTGCAGCATCATGCTTTCTATATAGATACCTTACCTAAGCTGGCCACAGTAGATGGGAAGCTGACTAAGTAATCATGGAGAGAAACTTGTTTAATGCTGCAAAGGTCTTAAAACTATAGGTCAATAGAGGACATTCCCCCAAACAATAACAATAAATATAAAACACAACCTCTTTTATAAAGTATATTAATGTCAAGGATGATCTAGTTGAGGTTAAAATCCAATTCAATTTAGAGTCTGTGTCAAGACCTGAAAAAAAATGTTCACAGACGTTCCTCAATCTAACTAAGGTGGGAGTTTGGAAATGATGAGTAGGGGAACGTTGTATTCATTAAATGTGGTATCAACCCTAAAATATGAAGGCAAAGATGGTTTTGCCAATTATCCAACAAAGGCTCAAGAACATAAATGAATGCTACTCATCACATTTCTAATAAAAAAAAAGAAGAAAGAAACTGAAAAAACTTAAATTCTTTTCTTTAAATTTGTCTTGGCTTATTATATAAATGGTAATAAAACACTTTATGGTTCTTACATAACAATTACAATAGATAAGATATTCAGGGAGATGGTGAGTCTGTAAGGATTTAACACAAAAGGGATTTTGGAATAATGAGCAATCATGTGGTTATTTAAAGACTTAAAAAACAGCAATAAAGCACATTTCCCTTGGTTATTTGTTTTCGAATTAAACATGGCATCAGAACATATTGAGCGAATAGTCCAAAGCAATGCTGCAACTCTCAGTATTTGCTTTTTACTTTAAGAAAAGTAGGTTTTAAATGTATTTCATTTATCTGTAGTTTTAACTTTGATTATTAAACTGTTTCCATTTTCTAATCCATACTTAACATTAAACTGCTTAAACAGCATCAGTTTCTTTTCTTAAGAATGTTTTTTTAGATTAAATCATCCCTTAATACTTGCAATTTACTCCTTAAATCCTCCTATTCCTTTCTAACAGATCTGCCTTGAAACACACTTTGATTTATATTTGAGCTGCAACTGTCTCCATCTCTGGGTTTAATCCCGTTGTTTATCTCTCTAATCGTCTTCTATACTCGACACAAGATCACTTGTATCCACTCCAAAGCTTAAAACAGCAATGATCTTTCTTTCGTTTGCTCCTCAGTCTGCTCTCATTTGGTTTCTATTCTGTCTCCTTTCTGAAATAGCCCCTGTTCCTTGTGGTGCACCTTTCCAATGCCAGCTCTTATCTTGCCTTCTTGTCATCTGCCAGGATCTCCGTTCAGAGAAGAGATCACGCAGGCCATCCTCCAGCTGCATGAGAATAACAGGCTGGAGATACTAAAGAGAAGGTGGTGGGAGGGAAGCCAGTGTCCCAAAGAGGAGGATCACCGTGCCAAGGGTGAGCTGCCTTCCTTCTTTGCAGCCTTATCATCTCTGATGTACTCAGTAATAGTTTGCTAACTCTCTGCTAAACTGCAGCTAATGGCTGACTTCTCCCCTAATGTCAACATAAAGGGCATCAAAACAATGCAGTGCTGGAGTTTGAAGTGTGTTTGTTAAAAGCCCTACCTGGTGTGAAGGAGTTTATCTTTTAAACACATCAACCTGGTTAAAAATAGTAAACTATGCACTGTCATATCAAGGCTTCTTGAATTGTGTTAATGGGCCAAATGTTTTTTAGTTTTCCTCAAACAAATTGTATTTTAAAAGGCTGAAACATAATTGAGACAGGCCAACATATCTTGTAAAAACAGTGAAGATGAGTAAAGCTGCAGAGACTCAGAAATTAGTGCCAACCATGGTTCAAGCTTTTTAAAAGCCTAGCACTCATTGCATAATGAAGGATGACTGCATTTCCTGTCAGACTCATTCAACCCTCCTGTAGAGGGTCTGCAATTATGAACTGAGGTTATAAAAGCAAAAACAGCAGATTATGAAACTGTTCTCACTTGCTTAACAATATTAGTGTTTGTAAAATCTCTAACAAAGACAACAGTTTTTATCCATAAAGTTCATTCATTAAGAATTTATGCTAGAAATACTTCTATAAACCCCTCAAAATGGATATATCTGAGTTTAAACATATATTTCAATTTTCATTGATTGTCAGACTAGTAACAATTTGACATATTAACAGGAACTTTTGAAGAACCTCCCATACATTTTTGTCTTGTTAATTTTTGGGCTTCTTGCAGGATTTTTTAAACATGTTATTAAAATCCATCTTCAGGAGACAGATCCCAGTTAATTGCAAATAAACCAGAAAACACAGAAACAGTTTTTAACTTGCAGCTAAACAACAAACATTCACGGGTTTTCTGGTTCCATATATTCAAAATGATGCAAAACCATTGTTTTTGACAGGGATATAATTTAGACCCACCATTGTGGAGTTATTATCAAAACTATTTTATTTAAGCTTTATTTAGAAGAAAACCGTCTCGAAATAAGAAAAGCAGGAATGCATGAATTTGATTTATAAATTGAACTTAACTAAGTTTAAATTTAGTTTCTTCCCCACTGCCATGAGACTGCTGAATGTTGTGTAAAGTGGGTTATTTTATAAAAAAAGAATGAGTGTTAGAACTGAAAATATGCAGACATATGTTTATATTACTTTTTTTATGTATTTATTACTGTTTTCAAGGCTGCACTTAAAAAATGTTTTATTGTCTAGAGCTGTTTTTAAACAAAATTCCTTTTTGTATACACTTGTGTATACAAAATAAATCTGCCTAAGTGAAATGCCCTGATACTTGAGAATTTTTTGCTGCAATTTCTTTTTTTGTGAAAACCTTTTTTCCATGAACTGTTTTTTGGTGAACTTCCATGTCAGCATGGGCAGGGTGTTAAAGTAGCTGAAGCTTGGATCGGAAAAATCCTTGATTTTTTTTCATGTGATTGACCAGGAGCATTTTACAGAAAATTAAACAACAGAACAGAACCTATTTTAAAGGACGAGAAAACTGACACTTTGAAACTCACAATACACCAACAAAAGAAAATAAAAATAAATGACACCAGACCCGGTCAAAGCAAGCAAGAAGTCCTAAAAATAAAGAAAAACAAATTGTTTAACAGACACCACAAAAGGAAACTGCTCCTTTTTGATTTGGTGTTTTTTCTGTTTTTTAGTAAAGGTAAACTTATGTTTACAGCCATTACAAGTAGCACTTTTTTTTCCAATTCCTTCTAATTTTTCTGGTGCATCATCTTCACCTTCTGGGATCACCATTGTGCTGCTTGCAGTTTTTTTGCTGATAAAAAAAAAAAACTAAACACTTAACTTTAATGGGTAGAGGAAGTCTGGGCAAAATCTAATGAAAAATAAAACGAACAAGCAAGTTTAAAGTATTGAAAAATTTGGAGTTCGGAAATGTAAACTTTTTCTAAATTTCCAGGTTAAAGTGTGAATCTACTGTCTCTGTGGAACACACGGAGGTTATTCTTCTTATAGTGCATGCTGTGTCAAATTCAATAAGATGCTATAACAGTTTTAAAGAATCTGCTTTGGAATCATTTCTTTAATTATTTCAGTACAAAAAAAAGGCTGTTTCCTAGCAACTCTTCTTTCAACAGTGTAATTTTACCTTTTCTCCAAATATAAATGTTTAATCACCACTTAGAGTTAAAGGTCTATACTAAAAAAATACTCTCAATGCTGCTCTTTAAATTGCTTTTAAGTTTGCGTCTGTACATTGAGATTGCTGATCTGTCAGGAAATCTTACTGGATAATCTACTGTACAGCTATCTAACTCTTATAAATTCTTATGAATGGCAAAAGTCATTTCCAGGTATATTGGTTTAATAAATGGTCGCAATGCCTCATATTTTGGATGAGCTGACTGGCTTAGGAGGGGAACTGAACCAAAATAAATTGAAGTAGATTGTAATTACAAGGTCTTCAGAAATACACAAATGTTAAATTAAACTTCAGGCTTGGCAATATATGAGTCATCTTCACCATAATTCTTCGAAACAGTGTAAGAGCTTCAAACTGTGATTTCTAAATTATTATGAATTTTTATTCCAATTGTACTTTGATGATGTCATAGATTAGCTATGTTATATTAGTTAGTGAAACTAACTCTTCTTTTATGTTACCCTTCATGCTTCATAACATATGGTTTTATTTCTTAAGTGTCTGAAAACATTATTAGTTATTTGCTCCAAGGCTTTGAGTTTTGTTTTCAAATAATTTATATCAATCATTATTTAAATCAGGCATGTCTATTGCTGTTCTACTGTACAAAGTTTTCAATGTTTCCCTGCCTCAGCACAGCTGATTCTGATTATTCTGTAGTTCAGCAAAAGCCTGTTAATCAGCTATCAATGAAAACCAGCTGTGCTGGAGCAGGGAAACCTCTAAACCTTGCAGGGCAGCAGCACTGGAGGACAGACTTTGGACATGCTGGATTTAAATAAAACTTTATATTTAATATTCAAGGAAACAAACAATTTAAGGCTATGCAGTGTAGAATGTTTAGTTTACTGTATAACCATGCATGGAGTACAACAGTAATCTGGAAACCAAATAATTGGTTATGCAGACAACAACAAAAAAACTAGTTTAAAAAGGAAAGATTGATCCTCTGATGATATTCAGATGAAAATCAGGAGAGCTTTCTGTATTATAGAGGGAATTCTGTTCCATTGTACTTGTAAAGCTTTAGGAATTCTTATTATTTATATGGATTAAGTCTTCCCATTTGTAAACTCAGCCCAATAGACTCAATTACAAATTACAAAACCTCAGCCCCAGTTAAAATTGATTAAGAGGAAGAAGAATGAAATGAAGCGTGAAACCTGAACATGTTCTGTATCCTGTGGCCTGCCTTAGGTCTGGGCATGGAGAACATAGGAGGCATCTTCGTGGTGCTGATCTGTGGCCTCATCATCGCCGTTTTTGTGGCCATTATGGAGTTTGTGTGGTCGACGCGCCGCTCGGCAGAGACTGATGAGGTATGCCCTCATACCTGCCCTCGCCGACCCCGCAGACACACCCCAGTAGGTTCTCATGGCGACCTGCCAGCCCTTATGATGATGTTTTCTGTGTGCTGTGTGGCGTGGAAGAAATTAGCAGATTTTATTTTTCGGCTTCTGTCTTTATTTTGTTTGTCCTCGTGTTTTCTCTCGAACCTTTCAGTGTTATGTGTTGATATTATAAAAGGAATGTACAAGTATGCAACCCTGGAACAAAAATGATTTAAGCAGAAAAAGAAAATATGCTGCATGTCCTTGCCTGTGTTTGTGTGGCTGTGCCCTTTAAGTGTTTGGTGTTTAACCATGTGGTGGCAAGTGTTTGTGAGCTAAATCTATTAGATCAGATAAGCAATATTGAGAAATGCCAATATTTGCTTTCTTGAAGAAGTAGAGTGATCTTTTTTCCCTGGCATTAAATGTCATGATGTATCTTCTTTTACATGCCTCACATGTACGCTGGTATTCTTCGTTTCCATTACTGAATTACTTCTCACCCATCTCACTGTGCGTCTATTCTATCTCTCTGAAACACATGCATCCCCTCTCATTCGATCATCAGTGTCTGTTCTCCAAGAACGAGTACTGTTTCTGTTTATGTGAGCACATGACCTTTTATCATCATAACAGTTATTGTCTACAGTGTATGCAGGTTCACCACAATAAATTAAAACAGTCAAAATAATTTCATTATTTCAATTCAAAAAGTGAAAGTCATGTTGTGTCTTAGTTCACTGACAAAGATGAGGAGTATAATTCAAGGATTTAACTCTGCTGATTTTTTGTAATTATGCTTTCAAACAAAATCTGAATTTCAGTTTCTCTGAAAACCTGATTTGTACATAAAGCAGGATTTCAGTCCTTCAGAGCTACTATCCTGCAACCTTTAGATGCCCCCCTTGACTGATAACCAGAATCAAATAAATGGGGAATTACGAGGCCTCTGTAAAGCTGAATAGCATGCTGAAGCGGTAATTATCCAGTGTGTTGGAATACATCCAACAGTTGCAGAATTGTGGCTCTCAAGGACTGGAATTGAACACTCCTGATATAAACCGAAAGAAAAAGACTGATACAGATATTTGCTCATTTGCACTGATGTTCGGGTGTCCTGATTCATGGAATACCCTCATAGATTATAGGGACCATGATTATCCCCAGTGTAATCATGGTTTTGAACAAGGACCCATTTTAGAGGGACAACATTAGTACCCGCTGCACCACCAGGTTTCCATTTGGTTAGCAAAAGAACCTCACTGCCGGAAATCAAGTGTTCATATTTCTTTCAAATTATCGAACAAAAACATAAAGACTAGGTCGGAATAAGATATTTCAAACTGTGGGTCATAATAGTCCTGTTTTTAAGTCTGCTTTTACCTATTAAAATCATTAATTATAATTTCTCGTAGCTATAGCTATAAATAGCTTACATAGAATCATGAGGGTGAAGCTGTGGCAGCAATTATGACGTGTCATGAAAATAGTTAAAAGTAAATACCTCAGCTAACCAACTTTTTCCAGTCATAGCCCTCTCTAATGGAAAACTCATTCATGGAAGCGAACCAGTCATTGGCCCATGAAGCAGGTTAGACACCTTTGGAAATTATTTTGATAAAGATGTGTTTTCTCTGATGTACTTCACCTCTTTCTGTAATGGCATGTTATGGCCACTTGGTGGCACTCTGGGATTGAATGGAAAAATGTAGAAGAACAAGAAAAAGTTAATAAAGTTATCTAGTTACATCCTGATCGTTGTGTCCTTGAATATAGAGAACAGAGGAACAATACATGGTGTCAGAAGATCATAACTCACGACAGAAGGAGTCTAGTGACACAGATAACGTGTCGGAGGAGTTATACGGTGGGAAGAAAGAAACGGATCACCTGCGGTGCAAGGAAAGCAGTGAGTCGGCGAAAGCTAAAAACAAGCTAGCGACTAGCTAAAAGCACGAAGCATGGACAACGTATTTACCATTACCCCACCGGGACCGTTCGATTTCGAGCCAAGCTCGTGGCCAGCATGGATAAAAAGATTCGAACGATTCAGAATGGTGTCTGGATTGACGGAAAAAGACGGCGCATATCAGGTGAATACTCTCATTTACACAATGGGGGACAAGGCTGATGATATCCTAAGTTCATTACAACTAACAGAAGAAAAACAAAAGGACTATAAGGAGGTAAAAGAGGCTTTTGATGGACATTTTATCGGAGTGCATAATGTTATTTATGAACGAGCATAGTTTAATAAGAGATGTCAGGAAGTTGGCGAATCTGCAGAGAATTTTATCACCGCTGTGCATAAGCTGGCTGAACACTGCAACTACGGCCTCTTACGCGAGGAGATGATCCGAGATAGGATTGTTGTCGGCATACGTGACGCCAAATTGTCTGAAAGATTGCAACTTAACCCAGCGTTGGATTTACATACGGCCATTGTTCAAGTGAGGCAGCACGAGGTGGTGAAAAAGCAACAAGCTGTCCTGCGGTCAGCTGAGTCACCAGGGCAAATGGATGCAGTTTTTCATAACTATAAGAGACAGGCTCATAAAAATAAATCTTGGCAACGTGCCAACCCTTCTCAGCCTCATGCTACCACGACAACATCCAAACAATGTGGAAAGTGTGGCAAAACCCCAAAACATTCATGGACTGATTGCCCAGCTAAAGATGTTGAGTGCAGAAAATGCCATAAAAGGGGACACTTTGCGAAAGTGTGCAGATCGGCTCCAAAGCTGGAATCCATTGAGGAGGACGCAGCTAGGGCTTATCTAGGAACTATTGACCACCCACATTTGTCGACATGGACAGAAATACTTACCATAAACGGCAGCCCGTTGCGTTTTAAGGTGGATACTGGCGCGTCTGTGACTGCTATCCCAGAGACGGAATATGTACAGGATCGATATGGCAAATACACAGCGCCACAAAGACCACTGCTGGGGCCCGCCAATCAACCTCTGGATGTTAAAGGGCAAGTGAAGGCTGTCATTCAGAGAGGCAACAGAAGGATTGAGGAGGAGGTGTTCATTGTGAAGGACCTGAGCACACCCTTACTGGGCCTCCCTGCAATTCGCAGACTGCAGATGATTCCGCAGCTTCATAGCATAGATGATGCAGAGGCATACTTCCGCTCAACCTACCCAGATGTCTTCACAGGGCTAGGTAAACTTAAAGGAGAGTACAAAATTAAGCTGAAAGATGATGCAACACCCTATGTTCTCTCTGCTCCGCGTCGTGTAGCCATTCCCCTCCGCAGCAAAGTGAAAGAGGAATTGGACCGGATGGAGAAGATGGGGGTCATAGGCCGCGTGGAAGAACCAACTGAATGGTGCGCAGGCATGGTCCCTATTGTGAAAACATCAGGGAAAATACGCATTTGTGTAGATTTGACACATCTGAATGAGAATGTCATCAGGGAGAGGCTCATCTTACCGGCAGTGGATGAGACGCTGGCCAAGCTAGAAGGAGCCAGGATCTTCACAAAGCTTGACGCGACATCAGGCTTCTGGCAGGTACCGCTACATAAAGACTCAATGCTGTTGACCACGTTCATCACACCAGAGGGACGCTACTACTTCAAGAGGCTCCCTTTTGGAATATCTTCGGCTCCCGAACATTTTCAGAAGAGGATTTCTCAGCTGATTGATGGCATTGACGGAGCCCTGTGCCATGCTGATGATGTCCTTGTCACGGGAAAGGATCGAGCAGAGCATGACGAACGGCTGCACAAAGTGCTACAGAAATTCAGAGAAGCTGGACTTACTCTAAATGAGAAATGCCAGTTCGCTAAGGGTGAAATTCGATTCCTGGGCCATGTCATAAACTCAACAGGCATCAGAGCAGACCCAGATAAAATAAAAGCGATCCTTGATATGCCTGAGCCGAAGGATGTGGGGGATGTTCGCCGTTTCATGGGCATGGTGAATTATGTGGGCAAATTCTCACCACGTCTGCCTGACCTGACAAAGCCCATCCGTGACCTGTTAAAGTCAGAGAACAGCTGGATATGGCAGGCACCCCAACAGAGAGCGTTCCTGGAGACGAAAAAGGAACTAGGGTCAGAGACTGTGTTAGCCCAATACAGCCCGAGTCACGAAACCATGGTATCAGCTGATGCTTCTTCCTATGGACTGGGAGGGGTGTTGACACAAAAACAGCCTGACGGTGAATGGAGACCTGTAGTTTTCATTTCTAGAAGTCTGACCAAGGCCGAATCGCGGTACGCCCAAATAGAAAAAGAGGCTTTAGCTGTGACCTGGGCGTGTGAGCGCCTGCGAGGATACCTGAGTGGGCAGGATTTTACTATAAGGACTGATCACAAGCCACTTATAACCCTCCTGAAGTCCAGAGCACTGGACGACCTCCCTCCAAGGATTATCAGATTCAGGCTTAGATTGCTAAGATTTAATTTCAACATAATCCATGTCCCAGGCAAAAACTTGATAACCGCTGATGCCCTGTCGAGAGCGCCTCTTCCAACCACGGCTACGGAGGCAGAGCAAGACCTGGAAAAAGAATGTAAAGCGTACCTGGACAGTGTAGTAGAAAACCTCCCAGCCACACCGACAAAGCTGGAACAGATTAAGAGGGCGCAAACCTCAGACAACACATGCAAACGTCTCAGTCACTACATTGCAAATGGCTGGCCCGAACACAGACGAGATGTACACGAGCTGCTGCTGCCCTACTGGCAGGACAGGTCAGTTCTGCACGATGGAGGATTACTCATGAAAGGTGAGAGACTCATAATACCTGAAAGCATGAGACCTGATATCCTGCAGAGACTTCACCAGGGACACCAAGGCATCAACAAATGCCTAGCTAGAGCTAGAGAATCAGTCTGGTGGCCAGGCATCACGTCTGCTGTGAAACAGATGGTGGAGAGATGTGAGATTTGCGCACGGGAAGCTCACACAGCAGTCGAGCCCCTGCTCACTACCGACCTCCCAAACAGACCATGGCAGAGGGTCGCGGCAGATCTTTTCCAATGGCAGAATGGGAATTACTTAGTCATGATAGACTACTTTTCTCGTTTTATTGAAGTCTGCAACCTACCTAACAGCACATCTGCAAAACAGACTATTGCAAGAATTAAGGCTGTGTTTGCTAGGTATGGATGCCCAGAAGTGCTTGTCACGGACAATGGCCCACAATTTTCCTGTCACGAATTCGCTCTGTTTGCACAAGAGTATGACTTCAGGCACGTGACAAGCAGCCCCCGTTATCCGCAGAGCAATGGGGAGGCTGAACGGGCCGTCAGAACAGTGAAGTCCCTTTTGGAGAAAGAGGGAGATTTCCATAAGGCTCTGTTGGCCTACAGGGCCACCCCATTGGCACATGGGAGCTCCCCAGCACAACTACTGATGGGGAGGAGAATCACAACACCAGTCCCTGTGTCACCGGAGCAGTTACAACCAAAGTGGCCGGATCTCAAGACATTCAGAGAAAAGGACACTGCCTTGAAACTGAAACAACAACAAACGTTCAACCGGAGACACCGTACTCAAACTCTGCCACCTCTTCAGCCCGGACAGCAGGTGTGGATCAGACCCACACGCACCAGAGGGACAGTTGTGGGACCTGCACCTACACCGCGCTCATATGAGGTGGAAACCCCGGAAGGAGGACGGATGCGGCGCAACCGTTCACAACTCAGAGAGGTACCAGTACCTCCAACATCAGGTGAGGTGACGACGACTAGGTCAGGGAGACTGTCCAGGGCTCCTGAAAGACTGGACCTTTGAACAGTATACACCCATGCACATCACGGTGGACAAGGAAGAAAATAAGACATGTTAAAAAGAAAAAAAAAGCCACAATTTTCCTGTTTGAAAGTTGAAATGTTATTAGGAAAGGCAGGTTCTGGTTGTTGTAAACTAAAGGTTTAAGTAATAGCCACAGTGAAATGGAATGTCTTTGGTTAGCCGCTCAAGTTACGTCCATTGATGTATATATTACGATGATTTGAAGTTCTGTCAAATCGGTTAAACGTTTATCTAAAAGGGGGAGATGTAATGGCATGTTATGGCCACTTGGTGGCACTCTGGGATTGAATGGAAAAATGTAGAAGAACAAGAAAAAGTTAATAAAGTTATCTAGTTACATCCTGATCGTTGTGTCCTTGAATATAGAGAACAGAGGAACAATACACTTTCAGAGTCTCCTTTATTGCATCAACTAATGACAATCACATATTTAACTTTGTCCCATTTGCTGTGCACAGGTACCCATTTCTTATGCATCCATAAAAATAGACCCCAAAATATTTAAAGTAAATTAAAATCAATTTCTTATCCCACAATGGGGAAATTTGTTCTCTGCATTTTGACCCATCCTCAGCCTTTACTGCGGTGCTTCTTTAAGCAGATGCTCCAGCTGAAGTCTATGTCCATGCAAACCTGGATTTCTTTAGAAATCCTCTCAAAGCCGAGTTATCCCTACTTGTTAAATACTTTTTTTCTGCAAACCTTTTCCTTCCACTTAACTTTTCTTTGATTTTAAAATGCTCTGTCATAGTACTCTGGGAACAGATGATAATACATAGCGGTTGGGGGTTGTCAATGACTCTTACTTACCGACAAGCCAGCTTTCCATGGTTGTGGAACACAAGCTAAACTACCTGCTGTTAAATATATATATATATATATGTATATATATATATATATATATATATATATATATATATATATATATATATATATATATATATATATATATATATATATATATATTTATATTTTTTTTTTTTTTTTTTTTTTTTTACCTCAGTATAAGATTGAGACTTAACATTTAAACATTTAAAAGACGGTAACATGCTTCTCACTTTTTGAATTAAATTACTGAAATAAAGTTTCAATTATATACTTACTGAAATGCAGGTGATCCATTTCCTTGTCATGTGTTCAAATAACAGTAGTTCTGTTTTTTGAAGGATGAAAGAAGTTTGTGGATTTAAATAGTGTTTGTCTTTGTGTCAGATTGCTTATGTCCATCAGAGTTTGCAGGCTGCCTGTTTGTTCATTGTGCCATAATAAAGTGTTCATCTGCTAAAGAACATTTTGATGTTCTGTGTGTTTAGACTGTAATAACTCTCTTTGCTATCCTCCCATCTCTATCCATCTCCATATCTTCCCCATCACCTCTCTGTTTCTGTTTTAATACATCTTTCCATTTTGTCGATGTGTGTTTTCTTGTCACCTGCGACTCCTATTTTTTTTGCTACACCCACTGTGTTTTTTTCTGCTTTGGTGCTGCCTCCTCCCTTTTGTACTTATTTTTTATTTACTTTTAAATCTTATAATTTATTTTCTTCTGCTTTATTTCTGTATTGCCTTACCACTGTCCTGTTGTGCTGCCTGCCTACTTTGTGTCTGTGGCACCTCCCCTTCCTTTGCTTCCTTCCCTTTTTCCTGTCCTTCTTTCCTCCTCCCTTTCTTTTCTCCATTAGGTGTCTGTTTGTCAAGAGATGATCACCGAGTTCAGAAACGCCGTCTCTTGTAAGAAGAGCTCCCGGCTGCGCCGCAGACGACAACTGAGCAGTTCTGCGGCCTTACGACATCCCACCCGCATTGCTCTTGGAGCCCCCCGGCCGCTGCGCCTGGTCCGAGAGATGCGGCTCAGCAATGGGAAGCTGTACAGCGGAGCTGGCCCGCTGACTGGTGGAGCAGGAGGGACAGGACTGCCCGATCTGGGCCCTGGGCCCCAAAGGATCCTAGATGATCCCCTTGGAGCAAACACTACCCCGCCTCCGCCGGCACCCACGCCAGTGATAGCGCCCTCTCGCAGCTGCAGCCACGTGAGGATCTGCCAGGAGTGCAGAAGGATCCAGAGCCTGAGATCAGGCAGTAGTTTGGGTTCATCATCAACAACAAGAATACCACCCTTATCTGCCCCCCTGCCTAGGCTACCTCCACCCCCACCACCGTCCTCATCCAACACAGACAGTGAGGGTGGAGGGGGCACCAGTCCAAGGCGGCTACGCCACAGCCCCCCATCTCAATCCCCCCTTCGTATTCCTCCTCCTCCTCAAAACAGCAACAACACAGACCTGCTTGGAGAGCAAGAGGGAGTGTAAGACTGGATAAGAGGGGGTGTGAGAAACTCAGAGAAATGGGTGATGAGGTGGAAGAACACAAACTAGAAAACATTTTTCTTGTTTACCCTGAGGAATGAAAATACAGAACCAACTGTGTACCAACTGGTCAAATATTAGGCTGCTGTTACTGAAAAAAAAAATGTTGGACAAATCTGAGGGACTGCCCTTTGTTGAAAGATGGCATTCTCCCCTCATTTCCTCAGTTCCTCTGTTCTGGGTTTCTTTAGACTCTGCCAGAAGTCCGTTCACCCTTTTGGTAAAAATGAAACCTAACTGGAGGACAAAAATGTTGGTCTAGACATAAAAAACAGCAACAAAAAGACTTCAGAGAATTATTTACTGTTGTTTTTTTCTTTTTTGTCTTTGTTTTGTTACCATTGTTCTAAGTGGGAATAAATACAGACTATGTATAACCCTTTGGTGGATTTTAAAATTCGAAATAAACTGATAACTTTTTTTCCAACAGTTTTGTGTCCCTTCCTGAGCTACGCAGCTATTCTTTAAATGCTTCTATGGGAGTTTGGTATTACCACTTAGGACAACATACAGTGACCTACAAAATTACATTTATGCACTTCTTTAAACATTTTTTTTAAGTTTTTTTTTTTTGGATTATAACATTTACTGTCATGAGAAACAATTTCCAAATGCTCTTTACCATTAATTTGACATTTGACCTATACCAGGGGTTGTCAACCGAAACTGTTCAAAGAGCCATATTGCCCCCAAAAAACAAATCTGCCTCTTGCTTTTGAGTCTTATTTAAGGCTAATAAGGAAACACGGACTCTAAGTACATTAGTCCACTATCAAACTGACTACATGACTTCATGGGCTTAATCATATAATAAGCATTCATGATTCATGTAAGATATTTGAGTTTAAATTCCATTCCAATATATAATGTATTAGGTTTTGTTGCATTGTTAAACTTATAGAAATACAATAAAGGAATTGGATTTTTGGTGTTATTTTTATTTTGAGGATTTTGGGGAAAAAAGGGAAGAAAGCTCACATACCTGCATAAGAGCTGTTTGATATGCAAACAGTTTTCCCTGCTTGCAACAAAACTAGCAGCAGTAATGGAGTTTGGAGATGTAACTCACTTCGAAAATCTATCTTTGCGCACCTGCAAGTTCTGCAAACGCACTTTTTCTCTCACTCCTGGGTGGTCTGCTGCAATTTTAGCATGCCTTCCATGGAATCCATGGCCCAAGACACACATTTAAAAAATAAGATTTGCGTCATAAATCTTTTTTTTGACAGAAATGTTTAAACTTATTGTTTAAATGTCATATCATATCATACAAATGTTTACATCGTTGGATATCGTAATACCTGTTGGTTTGACCTCCAGAACACCATATTAATTCAAAGAAACAAATACATCTGCAAGGGGGGCATCAAAGAGCCTCATGCAGCTCTGGAGCAGCGGGTTGCCGACCCCTGACCTATACAGTTCTACAGAAGACTAAAAAAGTGAAGCAAACATGTATAAATTGACTGCCATACATAAAGTCTGCAGACTAAACAAAACTAATACTTGAGCATTGAATTCAGCACTCAAGCTAGTTGCAAATGTATTCTCCAATTTTGGTGTTGATTTCTATGATTACCCCCTGCAGTCTGATGTGTAGAAAGTGTATGTTGATTATTATAGTTTTCAAACAAGTAAGAAAACTATCGTCATATCTTCCTGTTACCGGGGACCGGGCTGCAGGGGCAGCAAACTCTTCCCGTCTGAAGACACCTTCTCTAGCTCTGCTGGGGGAAGACTGAGGCACTACTCCAATCCTCTCCCTGATGGCAAAGCTCCTCAATCTATCTTTAAGGGAGAGCCCAGCCACCCTGTGGATAAAGCTGATTTCAGCCACTTGTGTCCAGGATCTTATTCTTTCGCTCATGATCCAGATTGGGATTGTAGGTGAGGGTAGGAACGTAGACCGACCTGTAAATCGAGAGCTTTGCCTTTTCATTCAGCTCTCTCTTTACCTCAACAGACCAGTGCTGGGTCTGCATATGTTTGCAGCAGCAGCCACACAGATCCATATATCTCCAACATCTCCCGCTCCTTTCTCCCTCACTAGTGAAAAGGACCCCAAGATACTGAACTACTCCACTTGAGGCAGTAACACTCCGACCTAAAAGGGAAAACCCGTCTTTTTCTGGTTGAGAACCAGAATAGCGGATTCTTATCCCAACTGCTTCAAATGCAGCTGCTGACCACCACAGTGCATGCTGTAGGTCTTGATAGTCGGGAACCAGCAGAACCACGCAAAAAGCAGATACTAAATCCACTGGTTCCCAAACCAGAACCTCTTGGTTGCATCTAGAAATCCTGTCCATTAAGAATATAAACAGGACCTTTGACAGATGGCTGTCCTGCTGGAGTCTGACATGTAGCAAGAATAGCTCAGATTTAATGCAAGCCATGGAGATCAAACTCCTGCCCCATTTGTACATACAGTGGCCAGATGGCACCTGGTAAAGGGCTCCTGACTCCATACTCCGGAGAGCCCCTCCAAGGGTACCGAAGTATTCCTTCACTTTGATGCGCCTGGTACACGACACAATCAAAATAGAACTAAAGTAATTTTTTTATCTGCAACTATTAAAATGCAATAAGAGGTGATTAAATTAATCTTTAAAAAGATTTTTTTTTGAAAATGTCACACATTAAGGCTATGCTTAATTTGCAGCCTATTAAGCATATACCCTGTTTACACTACCCTTAAAAAACTGAGCCGAGACCGGTCCGAGCTCAGTAACTGAGCTAACTTGTCGTGTGTGAACGGAAACAACCTGAACTGAACCGAGATAAACATAACCGGACCGCGCTAACTGCAGACCAGTTCCCGAGGTGGGTTCGGCTCGGTTTTTTTCCTGGCTCGGTTCTCTGATAACAAGAGCGCATGAGCAGAACGTGTCATCGCCGACTGGCTGAACATGCCGATTCACACTCCATTCCAGAAAGTCGGCTTCCCAAAAGCCGACTTTCTCAAGTACATCCGCGCAAGGTTGCCGTCTTCGCCTGACCCACCGCAAACACGGAAGTACAGCAATAATAATCAAGCATAACTTTCTGAATGTGACGGGCGCCGCCATTTTGATTTGCTTGATTCCCTCCTCCTTCGTCTTCTTCTTCTTGGGTTTTACGGCGGTTGACAAACAGCGTTTGGTGCATTACCGCCACCAGCTGCTTGAGTCCCTCCTTCAATCCTAGCAGTAATACCGCACATCGTCACTAGGAGGCGAGGAGTCGAGGCGTCGAGATAACCGAGATAAGTGTGACGTGTGAACGGTCGTCAAAACTGAGCTTGGCCTGGTTACCGATCCAAGCTCGGACCGGTCTCGGCCTGGATCGGTTTTTCAAGGGTAGTGTAAATGGGGCTATAGGCTGCACATTATCAGCCAATGCTTATTTAGAACCTGACCTCTAGGATGATGCTGTCCGTGGTGCTAGATAGTCATTTAGAAAAATGTTGTATTCAATGCACCATGATGTTAACTTTATATGTAGAAGTACAGTGACCTAATGTCAGGTGGGTAAAACATACAACATCCCTGGGAGGATCGCTGCTCAAGGTCATGTAGTATAGGAGTAGGCAATAGATTAGATCACTTGTCTCACCACCGCTGTACATATACTGCCAGAATACCAACATTACTTTCCTTTGTGCTGGCTGGGATCATTAGTAAAAATGTCTGTCCACATTTAACCCCCCCCAAAAAAAAAGTTTTCAGAAAACAAGAGGATCAGAAAGGTCTGTCAGCATGAGCTCTCAGCATGAGCAGCTGACACAGCAGTGAGTGAAAGATAATTAGAAATCAAAGCTGTTAATTTGTCGTTTGTTCGAATGACAGATGAACAAGCTGATTGCTGGGAACATTCACTCCGGTCACGTCTCTGTCAACCAAGGCTCTATGTCAAATTTTATACTGGTTTGATGCAAAATTAGATTCAATAATCAATTGTGAATGTGGTATCATTTTTATTGTGTGCTGTTACTTTTCCTTTTTCACTCTGTTTTCATTAAAAAAAAAAAAAAAATCTCCAACACTGCAAAAATTATCTCAAAATGAGTAAAAATGTCTTAAATTAAGTGTATTTACCCTTAATTTGAGCAGGTAAATAAGATTATTTGCCAGTGGAATTTGTATTTTTACTCTTAAAATAAGGTATCTAGATAAAACGCACTTGAGATAAGACAATGCAATTGTTTTTTCTTATTTTAAGTGTAAATTGTCTTGTTCCATTGGCAAAGTGTCTCACTTAAATCCTTAATTCAAGAAAAAATGCAGTTATTTTAAGAAGAAATTACTTATTTAGATTTCATTTTTTTGCAGTGAAGGTAATTTGGCCCTACTACGGTAGATTCTATGGTACTCTAATGTATTTTTCACATGTTTTCAAAAAAAAACAAAAAACTTTAAAGGTCTAACTAAACTAAACTAACTAAACTAAACTAAAATCATGCAAAGTTGGGCTTAAGAATGTGTTAAAGTAAAAACTAACAAAAATTTACTTTTTGGCCATAATTTCAAATGCAATTTTGGCTCAAAATGAACAGCACATGTCACCAAATTGAATAATATACCAACAGTGAAAAAATTGTGGTGGATAACGCTCTTTAGTTTCCATTTCTTCAAATGGAATGGACGGGTTTGTTCAATAAATATAAAATATAAAAGTAAAAACCAGTAAGCATTGACTTAAAACCACCAGGGGTCTTTAAGGAAGCTTAAGAAACGCAAAGTGAAGATATGAGTGCTGATAGATTCTCAACAAAGAAAAACTGTATGCTGATATAAAGAAAACATCCCAACAATGCCGCAATTAGTTTTGCACTGTAATGCAACCAGAACCTTAAATGGTATTACATGTACATTTTTCATCATACCAGAATGGTTTGGATTTTATTTACGGTAAATTTTGCAAGCTCTACTGGAAATCATACATAGTAGGGGGTAAGTTTGGGAAATATTTCACCATGATCTTAGATTTAAAGGCCAAAGACATGTCATATTACCTTATGTAACCTCCTTTAAGAGATAGAGTATTGCAAATATTAGCACAGAAAGGTTTGGGCCTAAATGTATTTGTTGTACTCGTGTCTCTTTTAAGTCTGTTCCTCGCGGGTCTGGATGAACCACATTTCAACATCAAATAAGAGAGATAATCAGACGGCTACAAAATGGAAGAGGGAGCGACTAAAAACCTTTGAAATGTGAAATAATTGCCACTTATTATCCCGAGTAACATTCACCAAGTATTTAAGATGCTTTTAGACATTGTTTATACAGCTAATATAAGATGGACCTGGTAAAAAAACAAAAAAAACAGGAGAGAGGCATGGAAAAAGATGTGGAATAGAGCCGACACTTTAATTTAAAAGAGAAATGTGTCCCTCAGCTTCTTCCATTACAACCTCTGTCATGATCTGTTAATTATAGGCATCTTTTAAG